TGAACTAAGATAGGTGCTTTAAAAAGTGACTTTAATCAGACAGGGTCTCTGCTCTCAAGGAGCTTATAAACCGATCTTTTAAAAACAAAAATACGAAACAATGCAACAAATTCAATACAAAAAATACAAGAGAGAAAACTGGCAAGGATGCTTCCTTTAGGAAGTTAGGGAATGTTATGGTAAGGAAGGAACTTTGAACCAAAGTCATTTGAAGGAAGGGGCAGCTTTTGGCAAGCAGCACACCTATGAAGACAGAAAACAATGCAAGCAATGGATCTGAAGTCAAGATGAGACTAAGTGGAAGATGTAGGTGAGGCAAAGAATTAACCTTCCCAGTATATGCCTGGTAATGTGTGACAGCCCGAAACAGCCCTGCACTATGAGGCATCAGGGACATTAGAAAGAAGCTTCCCAGGATAGAAGGTTTTATGGTTTTTTTTTTTTTTTTTTTTAACCAATTGAAGAGAAGCTAATAGGAAGAGAAGTACTGTTTCCTTATGCTTTCACTTTTATACAGTCCTCACCCCTCAAAAAGCTGGCCTGAGATTTTAGTGTTACCAGCTAAAATGGGGTGTACGAGTCACTTAGTCCACATGCTCCATGAGGCTTGAAATTCAAGTGAGCCTTAAATGATGCTCTGATTATGAACACCAACACTTCAAGTTATAAAACTGACTGCTTCTGTCACCAATTCTGTGGCATTTCTCATCACTTTCCAAACTTCAGTTGACAGGGCCAGACTTTCAGGTGCTCTTTTTCTTCTTAAGCGTCCAAACTGTGCTTTAATAAACAGCTGTCATCAGGCAGTGGTGGTATGAAGCTAGAACTTCCCTGCCTGTCTCAGTCCATTTTCTGGTGCTATGAATATAAATATCTGAAACTGAGAAATTCATAAAGCACAGAGATTTGTGTTGGCTCATGGTTCTGGAGGCTGGGAAGCCCAAGTAGATGGCACCACAAAGGCCTGGTGCTACCTTAACTCACAGAAAAAGCAGAATGGTGAACAGGAGCACGCAAACAAAAACGGAGGGCTGCCTTGCTGTGTGACAATATGCTCTTGTGGTAACTAATCCAGTCCCCTGAGAATTAACCCACTCCTGTGAGAAAGTCTTTAATCCCTTTTAACAACCTAATCACCTCTTAAAAGCCCCAGCACTTTGCAATCCTGCTACACAGGGAACCAAATTTCAATGTGAGTTTCAGAGGAGACAATTCATAATCAAATTAGAGTGCTCCCCCAAATGACTCTATACTTTTAAAAATCTTAGATTTAAAATGAAATGCTGATTACAAATAACAAAGCTTCCCATTTAAAATATTCGGTTATTGGATATACAGTGAATTACAGTTTGAGTCAGAGCTAAATTTTAAGGAGTATTAAAACAAAACTTAAGGAATATAAACAATGAATATGTCTGTCACCTTTCTTGCTAATTTTTAACTGCTATGAGCCGTTGCAATGATTAGACCCTGTATCTATTTCCCAAACTTAAGTAGAAACAGTTTTTCTGATCTTTATCTTAAAATTACCAGCCTTATACAGTTTTAAAGTTCACATGCATACCTCCCCAACCCTTCAGGGATTTAGAGTAGGTTTGTAAATTATTTTCCCGGGCCTTTAATATGAAGTCTTTACCAATGAACAGCTCTCCAGGAAGAACACAAGGAGATGCTTTTCTACAAATTCCAGGTGTTCTCAGAGTGACTCCTGTTCACTCTGCGTCCCTTCTCATTCTTTAAATGACCATAAGCCACTTACATTTCTATATGGCTTGCTGCCTGAAAGGAGTTGACCAACCTGGAAGTACATATAAGGCAAAGACTGTAGATCTCCCCGAACAGATTGGCCACTCCAACAAGGAGAATTTTTTTCCCTCCAATATAATGTGTTCCTTAATCCCTTTCCCTTTGGAACTCAGATGTGTTATAAGATCTAATTAGACTTCACTGTTTAAAATTCTTTAACTCACAAAGCAAAACCTGCTTCCATTTTCCAAGAAATCCAGTCTTGTTTTCCCACCTGAAACATGTCATAAAACATTTCAATAGAACAAGTTTTCATTCCAAACTGAACTGTAGCTTAAGTATTTTAAACAGAAATTATAAACATTGTATTTTTGAGCAACTTCTTGTTAATCACTTGCCAAATCACCAGGTATTATTCTCATTAATCATTTGTGAATCTTTTAGTTTAGGAAGCCACCCTGAATTCTTTGTCTGGAGTCAAAAGCCTTTTACTCTAACCCTTCCATTTGGACCTCCTCCACAGCAATGGATCATGTATGCCTCAGTAGCATCCAAGGATAGTGTTGCCTCTAGAATATTCCTGTATATTTGGTTCTTCCTAGATATCTGTGCAAACTTGCTACTTGTTTTTGTTTTGTTTTGTTTTGTTTTTGTAATAACTCCCTCAACTGTTCCTTTCACACACTAAGATAAAATACATATACAATACTGGAGAGGAGAAAAGACTATAGCCTTTGAGGATACAAGTGTGTGTGAATGTACACATATACATAAGACAAAATGGAGGAACAAAATGTAGTCTTGTTTGGGGATATACATATGTGTGTGTACATGCACATGTGCACACATATTCAATCAAATATATGTAGATTACTATAGAGGAAATAATGAATGACATTCTTCCTAATCTCGTTTCTCACAATCTAACAAAAGAAAAAGACACATATCATAAAACATATTAGAGAGTAATAAATCTTATTTTTATATGAGTAAAAGACCATGAGTGAACAAAAACAGGTATATTCAATTAATTAATCCTTGGGGATTTAGACTTGACTTTGTGAGGTCTTAAAGGATTACCAGAGTTTCACTAAGCAAAGATTGGAAGATGAGCCAAAGACACAGAAGCAGAAAACTAAAATAGTAATAATAATAGTCAGATAATAGGGGCTTATAGAAGACAATGTTTCTTCTGGCAGGAGATGAGGAGAATGATATAATCTGAAGACCAGAAATTAGGCTCCTTAAAAGCTTTATTAAAATTTCATTTGATTCTTAAAGCAAACAGATACTGTAAAAATATTTTAGAGGAGACAAACAGGAAAAATCCATTAGGAAACTTGCAAAGTTGATGTTTATGACTATAAAGGCCTATTCTAGAGGTATCTCAATGGGGCACAATGAAAAGAAGAACAAGAGACAGTTTCAAAGTAAAAACTACTGAGTTTAATGAGCAACTGATTGCAAGGAACTAGGGAAAGAACAGGCAAAGGTACTGAAGAAAGGTACTTAGAAAACATTCAAATTGATAGAGAAACATTCAGGTAGAGATTTATACGAGACAGAACTCAAAAGAGAGGCTAGATCTAGCTTTAAGACTCATAGTGGAAACTATAAAAGATAAGGTCAACCATAAGGAACAAAGTATTCAGAGTGAAAAACAAAAACCAAGAAACAAACCCTCAGTGAACATCCCATCACAGGGAAAGGAAAAGAAGAGGAATTCTGATAGCCAAAATGTAGGAAAAGCAGAGGAGAGGGCAAACAAAAACAGAAAGCAAAGAAGGCTGCAAAATCCAGAGAGGCCAAAAGTGACAGGATGTAGGAAAAGAGGCTGGTGATGAGGATCTACAAAGAGAGAAATGTGAAGGGAGTCAGTAAAGTAAGCCAGAACCCCAGGGACACGGGGAAGAACAGAGAAATTAGGGACAGCAAGCTCCAAAGCAGAGGATAAATGGCTCAAGAGAAACAGCAAGATTTGGAGATGGACTGCATTGATTTTTACTTACAAAAGTGTTATGGAGCGTGTACCTTAAATCTTCTAAACCCTAGTTTGTCACCATGAAGTTGAGAAACACAAGAGACCTGGCTTTCTGAGTGACTTCAGCTCCTTAAGCCCCTGCTTCATTACAGTTTGACTTAAATCCCGCCATGTATAAACACTCAGTTAAGACATGCTTTACCCATGATGCATGATATATCTCTCCTATCCATGGTTTTATAACCCATGGAAAATGTTATGAAAGAACATGGTGCCACAATAAAACAGGGCATTAGAACTTGGATGACTTAACCAAGAATGAGCATCTACCCTGAGAATGGCAGGACAGAAGAGAACTGAAGAAGTCTGCTACAAATCCCACATCCTAAGGCTTAAAATAAGCCAATGATAATGCTTGGAAGAAGATTTCAGGGAGGAGGAAAAGAAGACAAGAAAGAGTTACTATACAAGACACTAAAAGAAGAGTGTTTGCAGAAGAAAGGGGTTTCAAAGGATGTGCAGGAAGTAAAAGGAGCTTTATTATGTGGGTTGAGAATGCCACTGGAACCTTGAAAGGGAAGTTTCAGTTGAAAATGACACAGAAGCCATAACTGGGGAGTAAACAGAAGGTAGTTTCAAGGTACCCTTAGTTTCTGGGTACCTTAAGTGATTTTTTCTCCATATACATACAATCAACTATGATTATATGTACCTCATTGTGAGTCCCACTATGCATATGTGCACACACACAGGAATGGCTGTGTGTGCAATACTGTACCATTATCATACACCCTATAAGGACATTTCTGTCAAGGATGGAATGGATGCCTGTTACCTAGTAAAGTGACAATATAGCTCATTTAATTGTCTAAGTACTTTCTTGTGATGTTCACAAAAAAACAAAATTGCCCAGTGATGCAAATTCTCAGTGCATGTCCCTGTCATCAAGCAGTATATTTAATACAGATTATATCTCACATTAAGAACATCAAAAATGTACAGATACCATAATATAGCATATCTACCGAGGTTCAAAAATATCCATAAGGTATATCAATGACTACTGAATCATTACCTTTTTTTGACTCCTCTATTAAAAAAATAGTGGTGAACTTAGAAACTGACTTCACATCCCAAGGAGGCTCATTAGATGTGCTGGTATAAGGAAAAAGGCTTGCAAATACCACTTTTGAGAAGATCATAGAGTTTCTGTGGTGTTTCTTGACATGTGACTGAATTTTATTTTCTTCTCCCCTTGGCCCCATCCCTCCAGTGGAATGGAGTAAATCTAAAGACTTTTCTCCTTTGGCTGGAGAAATCATCATGGATAACCTGCATACCTTGAGATGTACAATCACAGGACTTACAACGGTAAATGTCTTCCTGGCATACTTGGCTGTCTCGTGTCGCTGATATTTGTGTGGAGATGTTGATAGCAAATGTCTACTCTGGAAGCAACAGCCAACACCCGGGCCCCTGGCAACAACTGCCACTCATTAAGTGTGATATGTCTGGTATCCATAATCTGGGTTTCACAAAGGAGTAAGCAGACAGCATGAACCACTTTGTAAGCTGCAATGTTCTAAGGAGATCAGAAAAAGACTGGCCTCATGCAAGCCTTGAAAGCTGCTGCTTTCTGGATCACAGTCTAATCTTCAGAGGGATCAAAGGCTCTGAGAGATCCAATTTTGACTCTCTGTCTGATGGTAAAAATAACAGCCTCATCTAGCCCTCACCCCCACACCCTCAGTTGAGATCAGTCATCAATTGGAGTCACACAATTTCCTGAGAGAAATCCTTTTCCCTTGATTAAAAAGGAGGAAAAAAAATCTGCTAAAATTGCTTTTACAAAAAAAGAAACTATATATTGTGGAGTTGTATTTCTTAGTAACCTAAATCAATTTATGCTGTGAATGAAAAACTAGAATAAACCACATTTATTTAACCAGTCTAAACTCAAACAGTAATTGTTTGTGGAAGTGTGAACCATATGAACATATGAAATGTAAAAAACAAAAACACAATAAATTACTTTACACAGGAACAAAACTTGTTATGTCCTCAAATACAATGCAAATGACAAAAAAAATCCTTTTTAAGCAAAATTTTTAGAAATAGAACTTAAAATGAATTTGTTGTCCAATTCAAATAATATCTTAAAACATTTGCATGAAAAAAGCAGAGGGAAAGCTTTGCTGTTATTTTCTTAAAAGTTAGTGAACTAAAACAGTTATCTGTAAAATATAATCCTGAAACCCAGCATTGAAAAGCTGCATTACGATGCATCTTTCTAAGTTTGAACCAGCTTATTCTAGCAGAATTCTTGGTGTTTGGGTCACCACCAAAAATCCTGACTTTTAGTCCTAATCGCACGTCTACACCAGAGGCCAGAATTGTGGATTACCAGAGCAAACAAACCCCTGAGTGGGTGGCCCCCGGAGATGGTATCAGCAGAAGACTGATTCCAACCCTATGGCTCACATGATGGAACAGAGCCAGAAAGAACTCTAGGGAATTTTCAATGCTTAAAAGAAAAAAGGGATATGGTGATAAAAATGGAAAACTCTCCAAAGAGGTTTTCACTAATATCTGAACTAATTTCTACAGGGATTAAGTTTTTCCACTTGGCCATCCAATAAGAGCAAGGCAGACACTATACTAATCATATAAAAGCCTGGAAGCAGATTTACACTTTTACATAATCCCTATAGCCTTGAGGTGCATAGAAACCCATTTTAAATATTAGAAAGAAATTTAACTTCACAATAGTGTTAAGATCAATACTATTAAATCCCTAGCAAAGGCTCTACAAAGGTTTGCTGGTTTTTTTTTTTTAACTTCAGATACCATTTTACAATTTTTGCAAGCAACATTTCTTCAAATGCTGGATTCTCCGAAACACCTTTGCATTCATTAGGAAAAAGGAAAATTGTCAAAGCAAAAAATAAAATCATGCAAAACACATTAGCAGTTTTTATCAATCAGAAAGAGCTCCTTAATTCTTAATGCCATAAAAAATAAAGATATAAGCCATACTTCAGTAATGGCTATAAAACTGATGTCACATCAGAAAAATAATTTTTAAAAAATTCTTGAAAAGCTGAGAAGCATACATTTATTGCAGCATTATTTATTGTAGCATAAAATGGAAACAATCTAATGTTCACCAATGAGAAACTGGCTAAATAAATGATGGTATTTGTTACAGTGGAGTACTATGCAGCCAGTGAAAGAATAAGACAGGTTTTTAATGCACTAATTTGAAAAGATATTTATTACTGTTGTTAATTTTATAAAGTAAGTTAATCAGCTAAAGAAGGGTGATGGTTGTTGCCTCTAGAAATTATAAAATAGGGAGAAAGGGGTAAGGGTGGGGAGGATCACTGCTTTTTGATAAATCTTTTAATACTGCATGGCTTTTTTTTTTTTTTTTTTTGGTACCAGGGATCAAATTCATGACCTAGCACTTGCCAGGCCGATGGTTATGCCACTAAGCTAAATCCCCAGCCCCCACTGCATGGCTTTTAAAAATTGATAGTTGACTTCACAGAGGAAGGATGAGAAAAAGTAATTATGTGTCTCAATTCTGAAAGCAAGAAAGTACACAGAAGCTAAGAGGACATTTTAAATATGGTTGCTATAATATATAAAAAACAGTAATAAAAAAAAAGGCATGGACATTGGGAACACCAAAGAGATGAGCAAGTTAGTAAACAGATCTCTTTCTAGGGTAAAGCTGATCAAGTAAAATGTCTGATGTATTACCTATTTCAATTCTTTGCAGGGACAACAATATTTCGTCCAAGTCTCAGCTTATAACATGAAAGGATGGGGACCGGCTCAGACGACGACACCTGCATGTGCCTCGCCTTCTAGTAGGTGGTGGCTGCTACTCTCCAGCAGGTCAACAGATTCCAACTCCAAGCACCACTAGCCATTCTCTTCTCCCATTGCTTGCCACCCACAAGACTGTAGGGCAGCCTCTTGGCCACAAAATGAATGATTTCTTTGCAAATATGGCCACAGGAAGGCAGCTTCTTGGAGTGAAAGAGGGAATTTGGAACCAAAATGACTGAACTTGATAGCCACTGTACCTTTCTATCGAAATTAGTTCAAAAGTTACTTAAACTCACAGAGCTTTGAATCAACATCTGCAGGACGTATTGGGTCATATTCTTTCACAGGGTTTTAGTGAGGATGGAGTGGTGACATGTGTGAGTGGCTGGCCCAGAGTTCACAGTTCATTTTAGCTCTCATCTTCCCTTTCCTCTCCCTGGGTAGATACACATCAGTTTCACAGAACAAAACCTAACAAGTTTTACTAATCTGACATTTTACCAGAAGAAAAGCTTTTTTATTAACAGGCACTCCATAGCAAATATAATCTATAATATGTATAATACTAGCTGAAAAATCACTTGAAGATGAATAATTCATTCCTGATATGGTTGGTAACTATTAATCAGAAAATGTAATTAGTCAGAGGAACATTTCCAGATAGATAGTATGATTGATTTGTCTTTGTCATTAGTCCATGGCTCTGGCTTATGTTTTCAACTTTTTAGAATGTCACTAATGAGAGTAAAACATACTTTATGGAACACGATGTGCCATATTGCATCTACTGCCTTAAGAAAATCTATTCTTTTTTTTTTTAAATCTATTTTCTTTTATCCCATAATTATAAACTTAGGAATCTAACCTAAGGAAACAGAGGTGCAGATAAGCAATAATGTACAAAGATGTGTACCGTGGCAGTAAACTGATAACAGTGAAATATCATGTGTCATGGGGAGAACTATCCAATATTAATTTAAAGTTAAGTATGATGAAAATATTCATATTTATACTATAGAACTGAACACAACCACTAAAAATGGCATTTTATTAAGCCAGTCATTGTGTGGAAAACATTTCTGTAGTACAAGTACTATGTGAAAAAATACACATGTTGGGAATTTTCCATAGAAGAATTGGTTCATCTATAATCAGGAAAGGTATATTTGTATGTCTTGATAATTATAAAATGTTACAGTATACAATTGAGTTATGAGAGCACAGGTTTAATATTCTAGTGCATGGATTTATATAGGTTTTTAAGCTTTATAACAATAGCTAATATCAATTATGACTCAAGCAATACATTATAGACTTTCAATATCAACTATGAATCAAGCAATATATGATAGGGTTTTTTTCCTTTTTGTTTTTGGTACCAGGAATTGAATTCAGGACCTTGCACTTGCACTTGCCAGGCAGGCGCTTATGCCACTGAGCTATATCCTCAGTCCTATATTATAGGTTTTTACATGTATAATTTCTCTTAGTTCTCACTGCAATTCTTCATTCTCCATACTGTCTTTTGGATAAGCATCAATGTTATGATCCCATGTATCACCATCAACATTAGAGAAAAACTTTTTTAAGACTCATTTCACACAGACCTGAATCTAAGTACTCTATATGTATTGATCCATTTTATTGGTGAGGGAACTATTAACACTGAAGTAAATTCGCAGTCCAATCTGTGCACTGGGATTCAGAGAAGTCATTACCTAAGGTCATTATCAATAGTATACGTCTCAGTCAGGAGATAAATCAGAATTTGTCAAGGGTCTGTATGTTTCTGATCTGTGCTGCATAAACTAGCAGAGCCCTGCTGCAGGCAGACAAGCAGACTAAGGGTCTGCCAACCATGCTGACTACCACTTTCAGTGGATTCCAATAGCTCTATTAGATCACTTATGGACTTAGACCACAAATGCTGGCGATGTCCAAGGCTCCTAACTCCCCTCACATTTGATAATTGAATGATTCCAGTCATATTTGGACATCTTTGTTACTGAAGATTTATCAGGGACACAAATGAATTGCAAGGGAGAGATGTTAAGGGAGTCGATCACATGGAGAGGAGAGTGTGTATTACTGGAGATGGAAAGGTAGAAAGCATACAGAAAAGTACACAAATACTGGTCTCTGTTGACCTGAAAGAGAAGTAGGAGAGAACACACTCTAAATCCATATCCCATGCAATTTCTGATCTGCATATGGATGCATTTTCTTGCAAAGGTCAGATGTTCAGGTTCTGTAAACTGCAAATTCTATTCAGGTATCATCTCATAGCTCACTTGTAAAGGTCTCTCCAGAATGACAAAACAATTGTTCAGGACATGGAGAAGTCATTTTATATATTGATAATTAGCATTAAATAGCAATACAAACAATGTATTTGTTTAGTAGGTGTAATTAAGAAATGAAACCCTAGCATATGGTTATACTTGTTGCAGACAGGCCATATCACTTGGAAAGAACAGTCTAAAAATGTTTCCATTCTATTTATAAACAGAGTATGACATTGTGATGCAACATGTATCAATATTCAGATATTTACTAGAAGACAGTGTATTCTAACATGACAGAATAATTGGAAATTTGGTAATATGTTCCAGTAAGCTATAAAACATTTTTATATTTTTACAAAAGGTCTTAATGTATTTTTATAGACTTACATTATATGGTATGGTACATAATAAGAGAAAAGCACCCAGACAGGCTTGTCTGAGTTATGATCAAGAAAACCCTGATATGGCCAGTGAATGTAAGCTCTGCATTGTGTTGCAACTGAAGTGTCTCATTACAAGAACAGTGAGCCATATTATGTGGCACAATCTGCTCTTTTCCTACCATGCTAAGTTTACTCCTGTCAGGTTCCTGATTTCTTAATATATTTTCAATTTTCTCCCTCACCCCTAAAGTCTCCTGTTTTATATAGTCATCAGAACCTTCCAAACATCTACCAGAAAAACTCATTCTTTCCAAAAACCTTGGCATTCTGTCTAGTATTCACTTCGGCTGCAATTTAGTCCTGGCAGTTTTCTAATGTATCATAAATTCATCAGATCTAGCATACCGTTTGATGGATAGGCTTCAGCTAAAAAAGCCAAATCTGTTTCATCTCCCCTTGCACTGATGGCAGCATTAACCCTCACTAGAATATATTAGCATGTTCGTGGCCAAATAGTAATTCAGTCACTCTGGAGTCTCACTCAAATTCATTATCTTGTTCATCTTATGTACACTTCAGATGCATGCATTCAAGAGAAGAAACCAATAGTAGCCTTAGGGAACCCAAGATGACAATTTTTATTCTCACCCTGCCCAAAGGTGGAGGGGCGCTATTACTAGTAGAGACACTGGTAGTTATTTTCTCAAACTTTGTCAAATTTCCAAGTAAAAATCCTTCCCTAGTTCAGCCTACTGGACACCATCACACTTCTATTCTCAGTGCCTCACCAACAATATAATGTGTCTCCTAAGCCCCAGAACGGTTCTTTACTTACATTATTTCTTTTAAATCTCACATAACCTAAAAAGAAATTTTAAATCACACTGCCACAGAGAACAAAAATGAAATAAAGAGAGATTAAGTCATGGTTCTTCCCCACAAGGAACAAATAGTCTACAATAGCCACCTCTGCCAATTCTCTGTCTCCAGAGTTGACCACAGCCAAGCCCTGCCACTCAAACTCCACCCAAGCTTCTGACCTTCCTTCCCAAGAGGGAAAAAATATCCTGGTATAGTGAAATGAACATGGGTACTCTATGTATGGTCACTAGACTATATTAGAGCCCTGGCTATGCCACTGACAACTGAAACAGGCCTGGAATGATTGTCTCTGGGCCTCAGTGTCCCAAAAGGTCAAACTGAAAACTAAACATAGAAGAGAATAAGAAAGAAAGATAATTAGAAAATCTCTAAGGGCCCTAACTCCATAGGTAACCTATTGACAGAGTAAAAATTGTTTCCATAATGAATTGGTTTTACTCTAAGTTATTATTTACTGAATACCTGTCACGCAATAGGCATTGTGCTGGAATGGATATCCAATACACCCCCTATTTAATCCTCAGAAAAATCTCACAAGTAGATGCTACCCTTATTTCTCAGACTAAGGAGTAGAGGCCCTGTCCATATACACAGAAAATGAGCTAGGACTGAGAAAAGCCAGGATTCACAAGGAGCTGTCTCTTACTTCACAACTTGTGTTCTTAAATGCACTTTACTCTTAGGCTTTGGGTGGACCAAAATGAAATGCTTTTACCTGTCTTTGACTGATACGACATATGCTTAAGTTTCTGAATGAAGAAGACTGCATATTTTAAAATAAATCTGTTTGTGGATTGGAGATTTAGCTCAGCAATATAAGCACCTGCCTGGCAAGTGTGAGGTGGTGAGTTCTGTCACCCCTGGTACCAAAGAAAATAAATAAAATAAATCTGTTCGACAGGAACTTAAAACTTGTTCAGCTAAAACTTAAGTTCAAGAAACACTTGTGAACTGACTGGATTTTCTAGAGAAGAGTAAGTAACATTTTTATAGAACGCATTTCAACTAAGAAGCACTGTTAAGCTTTTGCGTTTAAAAGGTTCAGCGAGGAAAAGCAGAGGGAAAATAAAGGAGAAAAAAGGTAGACCATGAAATAACTGACCTGCTGAAAAAAAACTCAAGGAGTTGGAGACAGCAGAATCTTGACATTAGTCCCATATGAGTTATTACTCCTGATATCATTATAGCCAAATGGAATGAAAATAGAAGGGGGAGAAAAAAATCTCAGTGGGTATTGCAATTTAAATTTGCCATGTAAGCTAATACTGTATATTTAGAGACTGAGCAGACAGGGTGGTTGGTGGCTCAGAGTATGTGCAGAGGTTGCTGTGCCAGCTAACCAAAGCAGACATTCATTAGAGCAAAATGTAGATTTCCATTTCTTGGCATCTGACATAGGCTCTTTCCTTGGAAAGAAATGTCAATTTGGCCAAAAGTGTGAAACCTACAATAAAAGCATTGGGACTGTGGATTTCATCTAGTCTGCACATTCCCACCCTTTTCTTTCCTACTGTAGAAATCCAGTTGAGACTTGGGGTGCTGAGTAGAAAGGTTACCTGGGAACTGGTTAGGACATGGGATGCTGACAAGGGAAGCCCGGCTGGGAGAGGAGAGATTGGACTCCTTAAATTTTCTGTTTTCTTTCGGCTTTCAATTACTGTCTTCTCTTGCCCTAAAACTGCCCAACACAAGAAATCAACCACAATTACTGTTTTGCACAAGACTCTGAACAATGGTAGCTTCCAAATATTTGGCATTGCCTGCCAGCTCTGCATGTGTTGGGTGCTCATCCATGGAATCTGTGGGTAGTATGAGAAAAAACCCCAACTTGTAAGGCAGGGCAGGGAAGAAGCCTCCTTGGCTTTTAAATTTCCTCTGTTTGTTTCTTTTGTTCAATAGACTGGAAAGACTACGACGACAGAGAGCCCAGACACAAGGGACAGAATGAAGTTCTAGAGAGTCTGCTCCAGCAGGTCCGAGCCCTTCATCAGCATTACAGTTGTCGGGGTAAGGATAAGAATCTGCGCTGGGCCACTGCTGAGGTCTCTGTGGCGCCGGTAATTTTAGCAGTTTCCTAGCTAGGTCATACCTTCTCATTCATCAGGGGGAGAGAGATATTAATATTTGTACATCTGGAATCACTTTACAGCACTATCTTGCTTTAACCCTTCAGCAAAGCCTTCCCTCCCCTTCCTTTCTTTTTCTTTCTCCCTCTCACCATTAAAAAACAGTTTGAAAATAAGCACAAGAAAAACAGCAGCTGCCAGTTTTAGTTCCCTTCTGTTTGAATTGTCCCTTCACAGGACTCCCTGTGGTGCAGAGATTTTGGGGAATATTCACCCTGGACATTTTCGTCCCTGAGGAAACTTCTTTGAGCATTCCCTGAGGGAGTTCAAACAACTGTAACAATAACAAAAAGCCATCAGATCTATTTAGAATATAGTTTACAAAAAAATTTCACATCAAATACTGCTTTTATAGCCTCAGTTTGCCAGTTTCAGCTGGAGCTAGGTGACTTGCCCAAGGTCACAGTGCCAGAAAAAGAGAATCTTGACTCTGACCTGTTTTTGGATCCTGCTTCAGTCTTCCTGCCATCTCCCGTTTCTGTCTTGCAGCCAAGCACTAAGACTGGACACTGAACTTTAATCTCTCTACATTTTAGACCTCCTCCCGTCTCTGCTCAGGGAAAAGTAGAGCACACTTCCTGTGGATTTTGGTTCACTGAACCCAGAGAATCCCTAAGACATTTTTAAAAGCTGCTCTGCTTCTTAGGCTGTTCAAATGGGATAGGGTCAGATTTCCAATCTGGGTAATGATTCGTGGAAAAGGCACTTCGTTTTATTTGGAGAATTAAAACTTCCATAAAGTTTTCATTTTCCATGCTTCCTTCAGATCTTCAAATACGTTGCACACTCTAGCTTCAGAGGACTGCTAGGCCAGCTGGTAAGAAATCCATGGTTAAAACTAAGAGATGCTATGCTAGCTGTATTTGGACTGGGTCTAAATCATGCTCAGCATTAGCAAAAAAAAAAAAAAAAAAAAATTCCAATTACTATATTAGCTACAACACAACAAGGCCCCTTCAGAAATACTGGCTGTAGCTAGAAATGAGGACAAGTGATTGCAAGACAGTAATGCTTTTCTAATGAATGACTCATTAGGAGATGTAAACAAGTATCTAAGCAGCTTGAGAAGGAAACCCAAGTGGGATTTTCATTCCCAGATCTCTACGAAGACTTTATCTAAGCCTGCTTTACCCAAGCGTTGATGTTCTACTCTTGACTAAAGGACCCAGGCAGGCCCCACTTAACCAGGCTGGGCTCCTTTCTCTTCTGTCTCCCCACCATTCCCTTACCCATGGAATCCTGTATGTAAGCAAGGGTAATAAAGCAATTAGACAGATAATGCTTTGCAATTCAAAAACTGCCTCATGTTTGGTCCTTATCTGCGGGGAAAAGGGGAAACTGAACATGAGAATGGGGGATTTTAAAAAATATTTTTCCTGAGGGTTCAGATGCTTTCCCTGTTACTACTGAATTGCTGTATAGTAATTGGGAAATGACTGTCTAGCCCATCTAATTATTTCTATAGTTTCCATTCAACTCCTGTCATGTGTGTGCTTTTCCCCACAGAAATTTAAATGTACACACAATGTTAAGGAAGGTTTAAGTGAAGCTTAAAAAGGAGGAACATGTTTATATTGAAATGCACTCCAGACACTTAAACAATAACCAAAGTATGTTCCAAAGAACACAGTTCTTTAAGATGTTCAGCTGCAAATGGGTCTCTTGTCAGTAAGTTTAGGAAACACTGCATTCTTGGAAATGTAAAAACAGAAAAACTAGACTACTAACTGACTCAGACACAGTCAATTTCTGTAGCCGTATAAAATTTTCATAGAATTAGTATTCCAAGGCACATACTTTGGGAAATCCTGACATTATTATATGTCAAAATAAAATAAATTACTTCACACATAAAACAGAAGTGGTTCTAAAATGAATTAATGGAACTCTTAAGTTTAAAAAGATAAAGATAACATAAGTATTTTTTACAGAAAACTATAAAAGTGTTCTTTAAAATATTCAACTACAATAAGCCAGGCATGTTGGTTTATGCCTATAATCTCAGCTACTCAGGAAACTGAGGCAAAAAAATCACAAGTTCAAGGCCAACTTGTACAATTTAATGACTTAGCAAGCCCCTGTCTCAAAATAAAAAATGTCTGAGAACACAGTTCAGTACTCTCTTGGTTCAGTGTCACTAGTATCAAATAAATAAATGAATAACTGCATTATAATGTGATTTATTGAAAACATAACCCTTTACAAACTTTATAATTAGAGAAATCAAGTAAGTGTTTAAAATCTCATTTCTACTATTTATTAACTGTATGTCCTTGGGAAAAGTTCATCTGTCAGCTACAACTTCTTCACCAAAAAAAGAAAAAAATCAGGATAAACATATCTAACTAGTTTGGTGTCAGGAACCACAACAATAACAAAACTTTGCTGTTTTCTGGTTTCTTAAAATTTTCTTTTCTTTCTTTTTTTTTTTTTTCAATGGAGTGCTGGATATCTCTATAATTTTGTTCAGATGACTGCAGAACCCGGAAAAGTTGCTGCTATTGGTGCATATAACATACTGTTATTGGAATATAAATATAAATAATTTGAATTTTTGGAAACTTTGTGTTTTCAAGTTTTCATTGACTGTGTTGAGTTGGTATTGAAGAAATTAACAACCATATTGGTCTAAAAACACTAAACTTAATTTTTTCCCATTTGTACAGGCATAACACACTATATTAAGTAGGTAAAGTCTTATCTACTGGATTTGGTTACAGAGACTAGTATTCTCTAAATAATAAAAAAATATCTCTTAACTTGTAATGTTGTCATGTGGATTAAATTAGACAATGTATTACACTTTCCTGACTCATTATAAGCCCTTGAAAGCCCTAGCTTATTTTTCTTCCAGATGAGGATTTGGGCCAATTTCTGTTCTCAGTGCTCTGCTAGAATACTCTAGACTTACAGTGTAATCAATGATTCCATGGAATAGATATTATAGTCTAAATACAGAAAGGAAAATAAAATATCTCTTCTTTCACCAAAACCCTACGTAGGTGATATCAAAATCCATATAAATATCTGCATATTTGCTAAAGAACTTGCCATGGCTTTTGACATACTCAGTACTGGGATGACAACTTAAGGGAAATGTTAACAAACTTTATTATTTACACCATGTATGCCCTTGACATAATGAATTCTAAAGCCAGTTGTTTTCACCAAAATAGTGTACTATAGGAGTGAATTTAGACTACTATCCTATTATTCAGCTTGCAAAATAACATCAACGGAAACCATCCTCTTACGTGTCAAGTGCTAGACATACCATTATGAATAAAACAAACTCCCTATGCTCTAAGCACTTATTATGCAATTGTAAGAATCTCCAATCTCCTCTCTACTATCTTTTTTCAGCTTTCTATCAATGTGCATTGACAGATACATTATGTGTTGTTTCAATTCCACCTTCTTGAGTAACCCTGTCATGGCACCTCTGCCTTGCTCCATGAAGACAGGTAACTGCTTCCTTCATGCCGTGAGCAGCTGTCACCCCGAGATTGTCTTTCACCACAATATTAAAGATTCTTTATATCTTTCCCCAATATTGGTGATCTTTTTTTGTACCTCATGTCTTCTTTCTTGGGTTAGTCCCTGATCATGGTGGAGTCTTCCTCAAATAGCTTCCAGGTGGGTACACAGGAATTTATTTTTGGTCACATTATACGTCTAAAGAGATATTATTTTACTTAACATTCATTCATGGTCTGGACAAGCAAAGAATTCTCAGTGGAAAAAATTTTCTTTCAGATTTCAAGGGTGTTGCTTGATGTCTTCTAGCTTTTACTGCAGAGAAGTCAAATGCCATTTTGATTCCAGAAGTTCTATTTCTCTTTTTCTCTCTCCCCCACCCCTCCCTCTCTGGGAGGTTTTCAGTTTTCTTTTTACATACAATATTCTAAAAATTCTCTGTGCTATATTCTCTGGTGTCTGTTTTACTGGGTACTTGGCAAGAATGCATACCCTTTCACTGTGAAACATTTTAAAAATTATTTCTTTATTCTTTTCCTCTCTTCTAATAAATCCTTATTATTCAGATGTTTGAAAACTTACTAGTCCTTTATCTTTTTTTCCTGTTCCTTCCATTTTCCATCTTCATGTCCTTTTATTCCACTTACTTGGAGATTCATCAATTATATTTTCTGTCTTCCACTGGGTTTTTAAGTTTTGCTAACATTTTAAATTCTCAATGCTCCCTCCATTCTATGAGTGGTTCTTTTGATGTCAAGTGCTTTTTAGAATAATGAAATATCTTAATTCTCCAAATACTGATACACTTTTAATTTTATTTTGTATAGTCTTTCCTCTATGTTTTTTTTTTTTTTTCTGCTTGTTTTGGCCTTTGTATTTCACATTTGACGTCCTCACATGCCTGGCCACCCTTAGATGTTGTCTCAGATTTAGGAGAAATTGACAGCCACTGGGGATCCCTGTGCACATGGACAAAGCAATTTACCGGCCTTCCTACACAATGAACTGGAACTAGCACTTAATCAGGAAGTCTCCAACGTTAGAATATTTGGGTGTATTCTCTGAGGTTAGGCAAATTCTTCGTGGCAATTTTTTCTGGTATCCTTTGAGTATGTAAGTTTGGCTATCAGTGTTTGGAGAACCCAACAGGAAAATGTTATGAGTGGAAACTTTCATTTAGTCCATGCCTTTTTGATACAGAACTATCACCACCATTATCCCATTTCCTGTTGTACCTGTTATTTTCCTATTTCCCACTACAGAATTCAGTTGCTGTTGGTGGTGGTTTATATCGTGGTGTGTTGTTTTGTTTTGCTTTATTTGGAAAGTCTTGTTTTGGTTTTAGATTTTAGTTGGTTTTGCATTTATTTATGTTTCCCAGAGAATAAGCCCTTAGCTTTCTTCTAGAGTGGGGACGCAGTACAATAGGGGGGAAACCATGAAATATGCCTTTTTAAATTGTTTCAATAAATCTTTCAAATTTTAGCTCCACCTACAACCTTCAGTTCCAGAAGCCCATGGTGCCCATGGGCTGAATCAGACTACTACTCAGTTTTATTTACTGCTGTGTTAGGCTTCATCTTTCTCAAGTCTGCTAAATTCATCTGTCCATTTGCTTTCCAGCTACCAAAATTTACTTTGTTTCTGTCTTCTTCCCTATCGATTTGTCTTTATAGATTTATGTTGTTTCTTCTTTTCCCTTAACATCTTCTCTGGTTTGAGTCAGGTTTAGGGAGAGAATGATACACAGTGAACATGTTTACTATGTAACAGTTAACCAGAAGTCCCACCAGCATCATTTTCAAGCAGCCAAACTCATCTTGAAATCAGGAAAAAAAATCTGCTTTTTCTTTTTTCCAGGAATAATCATTACCAGCACAAATGTGAAACTGGCATGAGTGCGTGTGTCTTGTCAGCTATTCTTATAGAATCACAGGCAGCATTCCAGTGGGCCTCAGCCATGGGCCACCTGCCCAGGTTTCTATACCTAAACAGCAGCTCTCAGCCCCAGTGGCAAGACTGTCTAAAGTTTCGAGAGGACACCAGCGACTTCAAATTCTCTTCATGACACAGAATGTTAAGAGTTGAAATCAGTGATCATCCAGTCCAGCTCCACTGGTTAGAGAGGCTATGACAGGAGTCTAGGAATTCTACTACTTTTATTAATGAGAGTTCCAGGTTATAAACAGAAGAGCTGAATAGGAGCAAGGGATGACCCTACAGAGGGTCTACATAGTACTCTCTGCACTAGTAAAAACATTCACTGAACAAATGTCTCAGATTTTCCTGACTTTGCAAATTTGAACAACCTATTTCGTTTCTGTCTCAGTTTCTTTTCTGAATAATAAGCATGATAATCATATTATCCCCACAAGTATATTTGGAAGCCAACGTATATACTTCAGAATACCAGTAGTGGTTGTACAAAGTGATATGATGATATTGGTGGGGTTTTCTTCTCTTATCCCTCATGCTTCAGACTTTCTATAATGTGCTTGTATTAATTTTATAATGAAAAGAACTTAATAGAATATGTATACCCACCAGGGGAACTTGGCACCATTGGTAACTATGTGACTGCTAAAAGGCAATCTAGGGATGGGAGAGGAAGGCAAAAAACATGCTTCCATTTAGTTTTTACCCTTTTGTATAAATTACTCAATCTAACAGCATTGATAAAACACCTGTTCCACTTGGAATTATTAATATTACTCGTCAACTTCTTTGATAAGTTGTTCATTAATTGAATTAATCCCTGGAATCTTAAGATAAAAGAGCTTTCATAGCAATGATGGAGCTGAATCTAACATGAATCTGCTGAGTAACACTGAGGGGACAAAGCTAGGAAGGCAGGAAGAAAGGAAACAAGGAAGGAAAGAGAAAGGAATAGAAGTATTGACCTGTCAAATAAAATTTATATTGTATTTGTTTTTCTGTTCTAGAAAGTTCAAAATTACAAACCACAGGCCGTAAACAGTCAGTATCAAGAAGCCTGAAACACCTATTCCATTCCTCAAACAAGTTTGTGAAGACCTTAAAACGGTGGGTCCTATAAAATTGTTCCAGGAAGTGTTAATCTCTCAGGAATAAGTTAGTTTTGATTCTGAGTAAAAGCCTAGTAGAAATTTCTTTTTTTATCAAAGAAATAAATCCTAAGATTCTAGGCAAGACAGGAACTTCTCTGAATTCTAGCCAGTGAACTTGTGATAGACAGCAAGAAAATGTACCTAGGTATATTTTAAATTTTTATTTTTCATGTCCAAAAATTAAAGTTTTTTTTTCTCCAGGACTCAAGTTTGGAAGAAGAAATTTTTAAATTTTGCTTTATTTTTTCTAGGGGACTCTACATAGCTGTTATATTTTATTACAAAGATAATATGTTAGTCACGAATGAAGATCAAATACCCATCGTTGAGGTGGATGACTCTCACCCTAGTTCCATTATGCAAGACTTTCTGTGGTTCACAAAGGTATACTGAATTCTGATTTCATTTTTCCTCACTTCACAACCATCTTCATGCACATAAATCTATAAAATCTTAATTGAGGGGTTTGTAGTGGTTAACATTTTGGAGTGGAAGTAAATTATCTCAATGTCCCTTTAAACCCTAATGTGTCCTGTCTTTACACACAAACACACACACACACACCTCAGGATAGTGTCTATACTACATTTTTAAAGAAAGAAGCTTGCTTCCTGTCAGATTGTGTCTCCAGTATTCTGAATTATGGGATCATTTGGCAAAGACTAAAATGTGGATCTGACTGTTTCATTAACATTCAGATCTTTTTCCAATTGGACAGAGATCAAAAAGTTGTTTCGCGTGTATCTGAAAATGGACTAGAGAACAAACATCGGGGGTCAAGTTTCCTTCTCCCTGCTTTGCTTTGATGCCACAACCTAAATCATGCACTGGCTTGGACAATGATATGACCTTGTGACTTCTTTTGCAGCTGTCCTGTATGTGGGAAGACATAAGGTGGCTAAGGCAAAGTGTACCTATCTCAATGTCCTCATCCACGGTGCTGCAAACTCGGCAGAAGATGCTTGCTGCGACAGCCCAGCTACAGGTGAGGGACCAGACCCTGGAGTTTTTGTTTTTGGTTTTGAACTTGAAAAATTCTGTGGCCAGTCCTACCTGAAAAGGCAAAGAGTGAGATCTTTCCTCTTCAGATCTCTAGTCACATGAAAGCTTCTTGAATGGTCTGAACTGCACATCTACTCATGGAGAATTTGTGCCTTTGGCATGAACAGGAGTGAGGAGACTCAAGCTGTAGATTACACTAATCAAAAATCTTAGTTCTCTTTCAGAGCCTCAGCTCCATCATTTGCAAAATAACAGAAGTTTGATTAGGTCACCTGTAAGACCCTAGCAGCTGTATGAGCAAGAGAGCATCTATGAGCATGTAGAGGAGACAGAGACCAGCAGATATCTAAAGGAGTTCTTGATAACACATAGGAATTAATGTACTTTTTTAGCTTACTTACAAAAACTGAAAAAACCAACTCTTAAAAATGGTACCTCTAATTCTGTATTTATTCATCTTTCCATTTTATCAATCAAATCAAATCAAGTGTCTAAGCCCTATAGGAATCTATGTAGGTTGTACAGTTCTTTCTAGAAATGGCACTAATTACCAACCAAGCTCTTCTGGGTTTTTCTGTCATTGTTTTGTGGTATGGCCTTAATTTGTGTATATTAGCACAGAAAAACATGTTACATGAAGTTAGGGTCCTTAAGAGATCATTTAACCTTTACCTGTGATATATACTTAAATTGTGTTGGCAGTTACATCAACCCTAAAAGTTCGTAAGAATAAATGTAATCTTCATTTGACCAGGCCATATCAAGAGCCTAAAGAAATTTTAGGAAGAAAAACACAATTCCAAACACTTTAGCAGTGGGGGGAGGGTCTTTTCTTATTCTCAATAACATTCACTTTTATATTCAACTTTATAATTTTATATTCTTTATCTTTAAAAAAAAGGCCCTCACAAAATTTGTTTCCATCCCTGCCGATGATGTCAGACTCACTAAACCCAGCGGACAAAATTAAGTCCTCTTTGCATGCAACACCATTTGATAAATATGTCCTATTCTCCTTTTCCCAACCAGTACATTTTTTGCCTTTCGTAATTCCACCCACTCCTGGTTTTCTTCTAACTTTTTAGTCTGTCTTTCTGAAGCTCTCTTGCTAGCTCACATGATATTTTCTTTTTGTTGTTGTTGTTTTTGTTGTTCATCTTGTCTTCTTGAGTCTTGAGACTTCATTATGTCTTCTAACTTTTTAGTCTGTCTTTCTGAAGCTCTCTTGCTAGCTCACATATTTTCTTTTTGTTGTTGTTGCTGTTGTTCATTTTGTCTTCTTGAGACATCTTGTCTCACTATGAAGTTTAGGTTGGCTTGGTCTCACTTTGTAACCCAGGCTGGCCTCTAATTCACAGTGATCCTCCTGCCTCAGTCTCTCCAGTACTGGGATTACAGGCAGCACCACCACGTCTGGCCTCATATACTATTTTCTGTACACAACTGTCTTCTTCTACCTCTTCGCCTTCTTAACTCCTACATATCCTTCTGGTTTCAGCTTAATTTTTACACTTCTTCAAGAGGCCTTTCTTTGATTTCTGGATTTGCTGAATCATTCCCATGGCACCTTGTAATCTTCATTCCGGACAATGATCATAACCCCATTAATTAATAACTTTATTAGTATCTACATAGCAACCCATTTGGACTGTGAGTTCTCGAGTTCAAGAAATATAACTGTCTTGGGTACCACTCTATCCCCAGTGTCTGGTATGTGCATGATCTTCTGTAGTTACAGTTTGGATAAATAAGTGTATTTGTCAATCTAACTCCAAGCACCCTCCCAAAAATCACACTTGAGGAAAACTGCCTGACTGAATAGTAAAAGTGTTCACAAAAATGTGCCTTACTCTAGCTACAACCTAGATATTTGTCCAGCCCTGCACAATAATAATAATCTAATGGACATCACCTTTTACAGAGCCTTCACGGAAAGCTTTATTGCTATTAGGCATTGTGTTCCCTCCTCCATGCTTTTATTTGCCTAGTTAAATAATAGGGGTTACTTTCATCTTTTTGCTGGACAATTTGGTATGTAAACTGTTTGCTGGTCTCCATAATTAAAATTCCTACGAATGTTGAAGGCATCTAGAGGGTATGTGATAAGATACAGTGAAAAACTTCGGAAAATGAATGGGCCAGCATTTTAGCTCAGTGGCAAAAGCACCTGCCTTGCAAGCATGCAGTCCATGAAGTTCAATCTCCCATACAAAAAAAGAAAAAAAGAAAAAATGAATTTGAAAATTGGTATATACTTGACACTTTAGGTCACTATACTAAGCTTTAGTTTTTAAAACTGTTCTAAAGAAAGTAAAGATGCACCATGTGGAACCTGACTGGCACCAATCATCCATAAATTCCATTGCTTTGTCTATGGTATAGTTCATTCTACATTGTTCTTTCCTATCTTACTATTACTCCCTGATTTTTTTAGTTATATTAACACCCCCAATTTCATTCTCCCATGGTCCCTCTCAACACTCTCCAACCCCATTCTCCATACTTCTGCCAGAGTAACCAACCTAAAACATCTTACTAGGGCATCTCTAGACTTAAGACTTTTTAATTAGTAGCCCAGATATTTTACTATACACATAAGACTGTACCATAATCTTTCTCTCCTTTCTGTGTGCCCATAGCACACTGACTTATCATCCTTCATCACAGTATATACCAACAATTACAATACTCTTTGTTTTTTGGGTTCTAGTCTGTAACAGGTTCCTCCTTAAAATAGCAAGGAGTAAATAATAATAGTGCAATAACTACTTTCATTCATTTAACAGATTAGGTTGGAAACACTATGCTAAGTGATTTACAAACTTTGTCTCATTTTCTTTACCATAACCAAATGTGAATGTACTATTATTACTGATACTCCATTTCTGTGCCTCATAAAACTGAAGCATAGGAAAGTTAGTGTCCATTCACACAAACAGAAATTAGCATAGTATACGTTCAAATCTGGATCTGTATCATTCCTACATTTTTCCCAATACTTCAGTCTATTATAATGTTAATTTATAAAACGTAGACAAAATTTTTAAATAAATTACCCTCAATGTAGTTTTTGAAAATAGAAGTCAATTCTGCTGCATGGGTAGAGTATTTAAATTGGCACTCAAATTTATGTGAAAAAAGGTAAAGTATTAATTAATTAATTAAAATTTGCTAGGCAGAAAGAGACACAAGTATCTGTTAGCATTTGAAGTTAAAAAATTAAAATGAGAAAGCCTCTAAGGGACACCAAGACCCCACCCTGTTTTCTTTCTCTCAGGGAAAATAGCAGAAGCCTCTTCTTAGGAAGAGAGTGTATGTTCTCACAGTAAGAGGTATCTAAACTGGTTTTCCTCAAAGACAGTAATAATCTGGCAGTGTAGATTGTATTGTCCTAAACTTTCCTCTTCCATTAGTTTTTAGGAACTAGTATTAATGAGTGAGAACTAGATAGCAACTCACAAACTGTGGTGTTTTTTGTTTTTTGTTTTTTTTTCCTTTTTTCACAAGAAAAACCTTTTCTCAAAATTTCACTCTTCTTTTGTAGGCCTTCACATCTCAATTTTGGATCTCTTTCAACTTCCCATGTAACCACAAACTCAGTAAAACTCTCAAAAAGACTGCCTCTGTCAGAGACTGACTTACAGTTTTATGATTATGCTCTGGTGATAAGCTAGATGCAATCCTGTTCCCCTCTAGGGGAATCTTATAACTCTCTACCTTGTAGGTTCACCAGTGGGCCCAGACCACCTAACCTGATTACACAGCATGATAGGTATTATCATAATCTATTTTTCCTTTATGATTCTTTAGAACCTTGAATTTGCCCTCTTGGAACATGACTGCAATTTATTTTCATAAGACTATTCTGTTTTTCCATTGTGTTTCCCCAAAAGCTAGCTGGCAATTTGATATCAATGAAAAATTTCAGGATGACTTTAGTGCTTTGTTGTTAAGCTCATCTGAAAGATGACAGTGAACCAATGACAATAACTATTTAATGAGATGAACACCTCAATGTATACCATCAGCCTTGGTTCAAAGTGGGTCATATTTTCCAGTGTCCTAATGAAATATAGCATGTCCATTTGGTCAACAAAGAACTGTATGTGACAAGCACCATATAAAGGATTCATGGACACAGATTTAAAAAAAATCATGATCTTGTGATATGTGCAGCAATTTTACGCAACGAAGTCAAAGACTGAAGAAAGAATTCTGTACAATAAACAATAAGGAAGTCTGGTGAAGACGGTAAAGTCTTCCCAGAAGAAGTAAAATCTGAAACAGGATCTTTAAAATGAGGAGGTGTAAATCCAAGAGAGCTTTCAGTTATAGCAGAAAGCAAAGTCCATGGGCCCATACTGTAGCAGGTTTAGGAGACTGCAAAAAAAACCACTTTCGCACATATTATTTAAACCGCCAAACACTCCAAGACAGTGATGGTGAACCTTTTAGAGCTTTCAGTGGTAACAAAGAGCCCACAACACCAAGCATGTGTGCCACAGGTGTGCCACCACTTCTTCCATAGTAAAAATTAGCATAAGGGATGAGTGAGTGAGCTGTAAGGATCTTTAATTTAGGATGGTGAAACTCAGGACCAGAGAGGGTAAACAGTCAGTCCAACATTTAATGAATGGCAGCCAGCCCTGAAATATAACACCAGTACAGTAATGCTGCAATGGTAGTGGTGTGCTACAGCCAGCTTGTACTGGCTCAAGAGAGTCAACTCTTAAATATTCACAAAGTTTGAAAGCTTTTTGTCAAAGCCTAGGTAGCTTAAATCAACTATGGCAAGGATATTTACACCATAGAGATTGGTGTATGTGAATGTACTACAGATTGGATATCTCCCCTCCTTTTTTTTTTTTTTGTTGTTGTTTGTTTTGTTATGTTTTGTTAGCCATTTTACCAGTACAATGCTGCTTATTAGTAAACTGCCTCTATATAAAATTACAGTACCATGAAGGCCAGGACTAAAAACCTTAACCAAACCAACTCTATTATTTAGAATCACTTATTAGAAAGGGAAAACTCTGAGTTCTTAAGCCATTTTTTAAAGTAATAATACTGCCAAATGAATTGTTATAATACATCCATAATTATTTAGAAAATCCCTTTCTCATTATGTCTGACTTTTGTGAGGAAGAATAAAAGGCTTAAAACATGGTCCCCACCTGCAAGTGAGAATGCCAGTGCTTTTTGGACATACTAATACTGACCAGTTGGCTAATTTATTTTGGGTCAACCTTGCCACTTTTACAAATTTCAGTTATGCTTTTTGCTCTCATGCTAGCAGATCACCTCATCATCATGTACGTTAGCTCACAAAAATACAACCTCTGAGATGATTTATAATTTAAAAAAAAAAAACAAAACAGATATTTGAAGCAAGAGAAAACTGTACCCTCGTCATGCAGTGTTCCAGGTTAGAAATCTTTAAACGCTGCGTTTCTGTTAAAGTCCTCCTTATTTTGCCTAACATTCACTTGCCGCTGCCTCCATTTAGCGTGCTGTTCTTCCTTTCCTACATTTTTAAGGTATTGTCCACCTCAGCTGACCTCCTTTCTAAGCAATTTAACCAACTTTTAAATAAACAGAAGTCCCTGAAGTGCAGATAAGTCAAACCAGGCCAATCTCCCAATTAAAGTATCTTGAAGGGAATGCAGTCACTTGGGGACCTGTACAATGTGCTACATTGTCAATTCACCGCTTCATTCTGAAGAACTCCACCTCATACTAGCTTACTGTAGATCCTCTGAAAACTCCGCAAGTCGCATATTTGAAATATCAGGCATTTTTCTTAAAAGCATCTGGGATTCTCTTCAAGTACTGGTAACTGAGGTTTATGTGCTGGTGTGTCTATGTGGGTAAGAGATATTTACAGATATTGAATTTGCTTAAAAAGACATGATTTTTGTGCTTTTTGCAATAATCTTCACAGGCTCATGGTGAAGACATTTCCTTTAAGTTTCTGTTAAGTGTTTTCCTATGATGCCACATGTTCTAGGTAAATCTGACCAAGCATATAGCTTCTCAAAAGTCATACAGTTATTCAAAATACAATTATTTTGTCATTGTTATATTGTTTTGCTTTTACAATATCATTTCAGCTACCATTATCTATTTGTTTCTAGAATTTACTTGGAACGCACAACTTGGGAAGAGTTTACTATGAGCCCATTAAAGACCGGCATGGAAATATGCTTATAGTCACTATCAGAGAGGTAGAGATGCTTTATTCTTTTTTTAATGGCAAATGGATGCAGATCTCAAAGCTGCAAAGCCAGAGGAAGTCTCTGTCAACACCTGAGGAGCCAACAGCCTTAGACATTTTACTGATAACCATCCAGGTATGTAGTGTTTTTCTTCTGATGTATTTGAAATTCCAAACACAATTATGGAGGCTCTCATAAAATATATCAAGAGCCATTTATATGTGCAGCAATAGAACAGAGAGAGTCCTGAGATAGGTCATTACTTGTATTCCACATATAGGAAACTTATTTTTATTTATCCCTCTCTAGATCTGAAACCCATCAAGCAGTACACTGTTCTGGCCAATAAGGCATTAAGAAACATTGAAACAAACAGTTGAGTAAGGGATCTGTAGAGTGAAAGACAACAATAATACATTATAGTGTGGCAGATGTATACTTACTTGGTGTGTATGATGCTTTGAACAAAAACAGTCTTACACATGTTTACTATTGCTCATTCTTTCTAATACTCTCTTGAAACAGACATGCATGATTAATTTCATTTTAGGAATGAAATAACAGGGGCTCAAAGATGCTAGCGGGCACAGAGCTATATACACCAGCAAACTTAGTGAAGCTTATAAAGTTTCAATGTCTTTCAGCTCTGCATTTGAATGAGACCTTTTGAGTCTCTGACTGGTACTCCAGCAATTTTTCACTGATATTTTGTATTCTTTTTCTCAAAGAAGGAACCAAAATTTGTAGTAGCTTTGATCACTAAAAACATGGAATGTGTCCCATAGGCACACAGCTACAAATGGACAGAACAGAGATTTCAACCCAGGTTTACTGACTAGACACAGGCTTTTTTTCTGCTTTATAACATCTAGAGTAGGAGTTACTATTTTAGTGAATGAAAGATGGGAAAATAAATAAAGGATGAAAGATTCACCTGAATACTTGAATAGCCACCAAAGTTCAAATACCAAGCAGCTTAGATGCAGATTCGCGGCCCGGATGGCAGCATGGAGCCCAAGTTCATGACCACTCCTGAGTGCACACGGTGCTGGCTGCCAGGCTGCCTGATGCATTTCTGTATCAGCATAGGCTTCAAGCTGTTTCCTTTGCTTTCTTGTTTAAAACATTGGGAAGGGTAGCTGCATAAAAAAAATAGCTGTCAGAAACATCTGCCACACTCAACCCCATGCAACCAATGGCGTATATCTTCAAAACAACCCATCTGGAATAGCAAGCAAGGAAGGACCCAGCCTCACATCAACAAGCCAAATCCCAGCCTCAGTCTCATGAGCCATTCATTCATGGTCACCTTAAACAGCTAACTTACTTTCTAACTTAATTTCATTCCCAAGTAAGGGTTGCCTAGTACAATAATCTCACCTGTTCATTACTTGCACTGGACCAAACCAGGACAAAGTCCAACACAGCAAAGGTAAGGTAAACGGTCAAAGCCAATACTTCTGGATTTGATTTTGTTGAATTTGGGTTCATAACAAATTGGTAAGAGTATATGGGTATGTATGAAGGAGGTGGGGGCAGGGAACACAGACACATTTGTACCTCCCCTCTTCACCTTTTATAACCGAGTGCTAAAAGAAACATTAAAAAATCATAATTGAGCTTTAACAGGGTGACTAATACACTAATCCCCCATAGGGATAAACTAGGGTCTGGGCTACCTTTGCTCCTAGGAACACACCACAAGCCCCAGCATGATATAATACCTGGTTTTTCCTAGACTTATGACATTAAAAATGTGTTACAGGTGCAGAGAAATTCCAACCTGGTGAAAGGTTGTTAGAGAAGGAGACCAAAAATAGAGGCGGGATCAGGTTTCCACACAGATCCAAGTGGAAAATTTACCCCTGCTGACTGGCACATTCTTACTTGATGTCATTCCCAACCACCCCCTCACTCCCTTCTCTTTCCCCCACTTTTTCTCTCTGCCTTCTGTGTAGGTCTTATGCTGGAGAGGAAATGGGGGCTAAAATTCCATAACTGGTATCTAATTCATCCTCCAGGGGATGGACTGTCCCACTGTCAGGTCTAGGCTCCACTAAGGGGACACAAAGGTTGACACAAGTCTTGATGGAGGCCCAAAGTGGACTGAGTAATTCTCACAGTGACAGGCCACAGATCATTGTCTCTCCTCAGCAATGACTACCAGGCACTTGTTCACTGGAAAGCTGGGGTTTTTCTTGCTACTCCATAACACACTCAGGGTGCCACTCAGGAATCAGGCTGACTAGGATATTATTCTTGACCCCACCCGTTCTGTTACATGACCAGAGCAAGTTACTGGACTTCTCACCCCTTGAATCACCTCCTCTAAAAAAAAAAAAGAAAATCCTACATTCAATGAATTAGAATACAAAGCCTTAGAAAAGTAACACAGTAAATGCTAGTGATTTTTATTATATCCTCCTCAGGACACACTCAGCACATGTCTTCTTCCCCACTCTCTAGCACACCTCTGGTACTGTCCCATTCATTCCTGGAATTTCATCACTTCATCTTTTTCCGAACAGTTAAAAGAAGCTATATAAAAGCTACACGATGCACAATGGGTTCTCAAAAATAGATTTTCAAAATTCCCATAATTAATCTCTTAAGCTGCAGGGCTCCAGGTAAGCTTCACTACCCAGCTCTCTTAATTTTCTCTCTTAAAATCCCAGACCTTCAAAACTGTCCCCTCTAATGTATTGAGGAAGGACAAATTCGTTTCATGCTTACCTGGAAAGAGAGACAGTAAGGACAAATTAGAGTCCCTCTAAGCAAGCTAGTTGTCAATAAGACTATTTCCAATTTTTAAAAAGTTCCTCTTATGTGCTGGGTTATTCTAAACATGATCTTCAAGGATCAATTTAGAAACTGGACAACTACATATGAAGTTTCCTCTGAAAATTAATCGCTCACCTGTATACTTACATTCTAATCTGTAACCCTTTGTCATATCTATGATATAATTTGATTCAAAATCTAATGGGACTGAGTAATTCTTTCGATCTGATTTGCAGATGAGGCCATAGATTTCAAGTAGGTACATAGCCAAAGTTATCAGCCAAACACAGCATAAGGACTAGGGCTCACATATTCTGGCACCTAGCATAGTGCCTTTCTCACTCTACTATGTTGTTTAATGCACTCTGCCTTCACACTTTCTGCCCTTTCTTAGAAGTCTGTCCTAGGGAAGCTGTGTTTCATCTTGTCTTTTTTCTCCTTCCATCCCTGCTTCTTTTTCTTTTTCTCCTCGGTCAGTATTTGCTACCTCAAGGTACCCCATACTTTTTAATACTCCAGGTACCCAGGACCTATTATATCTTCTGCCTTTCTCTTCCTGTGCTTTCCTACTGTATGTCCAAGTAGTATCTAACACAGGTATCAAAATGATCAAATCAGAAAGATTAATGGGTATGAGCTAACTGGCCTGGATTTAAGAAACACTTGGGTTCATACAAAAATTTGTTTACCACTATTCACAAAAGTATTATCCACAAAAGTCAAAGAGCATTAACCACCTTAATGTCCAATAGCTGATGAACTGGTAAACAAAATGTAATATAGCCAGGCAATGGAATATTATTCAGCCATAAAAACGAATGAAGCATGACCCATGCTGTGTGAATGAACCTTGAAAATATTATGCCAAGTGAAAGTAGACACAAAGTATAGACTATTACATGATTCCACTTATACGCTATATTCATAGTAAGCAAATCAATGTAGATGAAAAGTAGTGATTTTAGGGGCAAGGAAAGAGAGATTAGAGAATACCAACTACTGAACGTGGGGTTTCTACAATGAAAATGTTCTGGAATTTAACAAAGAAGTAGTAGCACGGTCTTATAAGAATACTAAATATTGTTGAAATGTTTCCCACTCTTAAAACAGAAATTTGAAATCCCAGAGGTTAGGGTAAAATCTCCTTAATTTTAAATGTAAAAAAAATCCAGAAAATTTAAATTATTTATAGTCTATATAATCTTGGTCCCACAAAAACTACAGGCCACCTTTGCTCCAGCTTCCATACCTTATCCACCAAAATAAAAGCCCTACAGTTATTGTAAAAGTAATGATTTATTTTTCCTTTAACAAACTCTTAGGATATCAGGTCAATGGAGAGAAGCTCACACACCTTTCCTGATCACTGCATGGCTTTTTCTTTCCGAGACCCAGCCCCACAGCCCACACCTCTGTGCCTTTCATTTTGTATTTAATAAACACTTTTTCAACACTCACTAAGTTCCAGGCACTCTTCTAGGTGTTATAGGAAAAACAAATGAATAAGTCAAGGTCCTTGCTCTCAAGGAGCTCAGTCACGGGAAGGAGACAGTCTTATAAACAAATCAAGGTAATACAAGGCAGAATTAAACCAGAGCCTGATAGCAGTACAAACGGTGTACTATGGGAGCACTCACAAAGCGGCTATTAATTCTGCCTGGAAATATCAGGAAAGGCATTACAGAAGAGTTGGCATTTGGCTGAGCCATGAAGATAAGTTTATCAGGTGGAGCAAGAAAAGGGAGTAAAGAAGGAATTCAGTAGAGCCCCTAGTATAGACACAAGGCAGAAATTGATCTTGCTCTCCCGTAGGTCCACATAGATTTTACACACTCTTCTTATGACCCTCATTATGTTGGGGTAGGAAAACTGGCTTACATGTTCCTCCAACACACTGAAATGTCAAGTTTCTTAAGGGAAAGAGCGTGTCTTATTCATTTTGGGTTCATTAATAACCTACCATAATCCCTGACATACAGTATGTGCTCAATAATTGTTGAACATGAGTGAATTCATGAACCAACAATCACAAAAGGGAGATAAGAGTGTGTATTATGCCAATGCTACGGCAGGAGACAGGGCCCTAAGAGGGCTATAATGGAAGGCAGAAGCTAGAAATGTGGGTTGGAGGTTAAATCAGATACTCAATTTGGTTTTACAAAGACTTTCTAGTGTATTTTAACATATATGAAGAAGACAGCTCCTTTATTTTCCATACATTCTGCAGGCTCCAAAAGCATTCTATTGAAGGATAAAAATGACTATGTAAAGGCAAAAAACACATAGTAGATACTAATAGTCTTTAAAAAAAAAAAAAAACTGAATGAAAGAGTAAGCAACTCCACCCTAGAATGGTGCTGTTTTTATATAACTACAGTATGCTCCTGACTCACATTCTATTTGTGGTCAGTCCCGACCCCCACATGTTTTTCTCTTACAACCTTACCCATCCGATATTTGTACTCTTGGGTTTGAATCTTTACAAGCATATTTTCTTATTAAGTTTCAACCCCAGTTATGATAGACTTATTTTTCCAATGCATTGGGTCATAGTTTTATTATTATTTTCCAGAAAATCAAAACCACACCAAATTTGAGGCCCACAAACTTGATACACACATTCTTGATTTTCTTTGTCCAAAATGTCAATAAGCAAGCAGAACAGAGGGGCCCTTGAACAATCCCTACCGCACCATCACTCAGTCTGTCTACTAGCTCCATACCATCTCTATCTCCCACAAATCTTCATCCTCAGATATTCAGCTTGCTAAATATGGCCAACACTGTACTTTATCTAGTGAAACACGACCCTAGAGACTTCTCCCTAGTGAATGGATCCTATTTTATTGCTGTTAGAACTTAAAGGTATTTGTATCATTTGTTCTTCATAAAACCTCACTGATTCTTAAATGTCTCAGGATTTCTTGGGTGACTGCAAACTAATCAGATACTTAGTTCTTTCTGATTTTTCCCAAAGATCAATAAATTGGATGTCTTTAATTACTAGAGTCATCTTGTGCATCTCACCTTTCTGTTCCAAAGACAGGCATATATGTCCTTCCCTAGTCTTTAGGGACTTTCCCAGTTCTCCACAACTTCTAAAAAATAATGACCCAGGGTCTATAGACACATCTGCTTGTTCAGCAAGTACCCCTAGGGTACATATCATCAGATTCTGCTGATCTGAATGCTATTTTTCCTTCCCACTTTAACCATATCTCTCCCTTTGGCTAATTTTTCATTTCCCAAAACACTACCTTGATAAACTTCTTCCAGTCAACTACTACTAAATGATCTGTTCTAAAGAGACATAATAGAAGATATTAATAAACCCAGTCTAAACCATCCTAGTATTAGTAAGAATTCCTTCCTGACTGAGCATAAGAAAAAATGTGTTTGAAAGTTAAGATTATGCTTTTCTAAACATAGTAGTTATTCTATTTTCCTCCCAATTGTGACATCTCTTAATTTGTTCCTCTTCTGCAATCCCGTATTATGTTTTAGAGACCTGACCTGATTTCTTAATGGTGTATACTTATCTTATAAACTAGTTACAGTACTGGATACTAAGGAAACAAAGCAATAAAAAAAAAACCCACTATCTCATTAATCTCACAGTCTGGTGAAAGCAGACTTTAGTGATACAGCACTTGACTAGTATGCATGCACAAGGCTCTGGGTTTACTTCTCAAAATCTATGCTTCCCAGAAATAGAGGGAAAAAAAAAACTATAAGTACTCTTTTCCAGTGCATGCCTACATTGTCTCTGCATTGATTTCAATATACTAGGATCATCTCTCAGTTCCCGTAAGAGTAGGAATCACATCGTGTTTTCTCACAGCATCCAGCACATCACAGGAACTCAGTATATGTCTGGTAAAGGATGAGAGAGAGAAAAAAATATACAATAGTGTATGTTAGGTGCTGTTGATGGTTAATTGTACAGAGGAGGGATCACTCCTTCAAAGCACCACTCCTCCAGTAGTCGAGAAGGGCCTATACTTTTCTGTACAGAATTCTATACAAGTTTAAATTTTGTTTTTTTCACTTCTTGCCTTTCCTACAGTTGTAGTGGTAGATTATTTTTATTTCATTCTTTTAAAATACGTATATTACTTTTAATTTAAAAATTATATCTGTAAACATTTGTGAATTACAAAATGTTTGACATACATACATAATGTAGATTAAGTCGAGTTATTATATCCAACACTTCATTTATCTAGTTATAGTGTTTCATTGAAATTTACGTACTTTACCTTGTCTAAAAACCAAGCTAAACTAGCCTAACAGAAAGCCCTCTTTTATAATCTGTGACCTGATTTTTCACTGCTTTGTTTCCCACACTCTTCTGCACAAAGTTTAGAAAGTCTTACTTCCTAATACAGGGGTGGGGAGGAACAGACTGTGTTTTCTAATGATTCATTGTCTGAGATCCTACACTTGTATAGGGAAACAAGAGTCATAACCCAGATAGTTCGTTAGAGAAGTGATCACATGTAAAACAAGATCTGGTCAAACATCTCTAGCTGACACTTTCACGGTTCCAACAACTCGACTCAGTCTCCACAACATGTGAAACATTTTGATGTAACAAACTAATGCAATTTCAATGCAAATTCACTATAAGGCAAGCTTTCAACTATTGTAAAGATACAGAATTTTGAAAAGTTGATGGAAATGAGGTACAAACCCAATTAGCTCACATGTAGAGCCATTGAGTATCTAGAAGCAGTAGACCAATTAATGATTAAAGAACACAAAATGAACAATTAATTTATTAGGACATTTGAATACCAAAAATTTTAATATCCCATGGAAAAAATATGAAGCTTTAGACACTGTTGTAAATTACTGTCATTATTGTAAAAGTCAAATATAAAGAGTATCACTTTGGCTATCATATAGTTTAGTCAAAAAATAAGCCAAAAAAATCAATGCTTGATTCTCTTTTTATTCTCAGATTTGGTTTATAACTGCAATTTGCTAATAATGTAAAATGAAACTCTTCAGGTTAGCTTTTTAAGATGAAGAATCAAACTTTTTTCCTACTATGGAATTTTTCTTCATTTAAATGGCTTCATTTAAAAATGGACTTTCTTTTTTAATTATCTTGAAATCACAACATTTCCTGTAATGGTTGTGTTAGGTTTTACACTGGCAAATGTATGTTTTCTCCCAGCTAACCAGTAAGCCCTCCTGGGAGAAAAATTAAGAATTCCGCCATTCTTTATTATCTGCTTCTACTACGACCAGTCTATTCCCTATCATGACACACACACACCTACCCTTGGCACAGAAATCTGGGACAAATAAGTTTGCAGAATATATTAACAACTGATTGCCTGACTTGAAGGAGACTTCTGCTGAAGATTAAACTAGCTGCCACACCAACACCTGCCCAGCATTCATGGTGTTACCCAAGGTTACTCACCTAATTAGTCACAGGTCCTTTCACTCAGAACAAGCCTGCCTTGGGAAGGAAAAAGTCTTAAGACTATCTTTCTATCTTTTTTTTTTCTTTCTGTGTTTTACCCTATAGGATATTCTTTCCTACAACAAAAGGAGTCACCAGCGTCTCTCTCCTGGACTTTATCTAGGTTACCTAAAGTTATGTAGCTCTGTGGATCAAATCAAAGTTCTTGTAACGCAGAAGTTACCCAACATTCTCTGCCACATGAAGATTCGTGAAAACAGTAACATTTCCAAGTAAGTAGTCATGAGTTGAGACCTTCTTTGTGATGAACTGTGTGTGGCTGACGGGGCCGACTGATGTGATATGCCCAAAGATTTGTTGTGGTTTCTACAGTGAGATGTCTCATGGCATGCTGGAGTAGTGGCACACTCGGATAAGGAGACCTGTCACTGTTGGTTAGGTGGGAGGAGTGGGCCATTTCTTCTCCATCTCCTTTGCATTATTCATGGAGCGATCCCTGAAGCTCAGCTGGTTACTATACATCAATGGTTGCAATAACTTTTTCCAATCTTTTCTTCACAATTCAGGACAGCCACCTTCTTGTTGCTCTTTGTTTTTAACATTATCTGTTGGGAATTTGATTTTAAAGGACCTCTCCTAGTACTTTTATTCTTCTTATTCTTAACCCTGTGGCCTAAAGATCTAACATGTTTCCTGCATCTCTTATGGTTTTGGAAGAAAAGAAGTACAAGGTCTGAGCTTCTGCAAAGTCACTCTATGCCCTGGCATTTGGCGAATTATCTTGTTAGCTCTGGGGACATTGCCTAATCATGTCAATCTGACTCAACTTTACAACTAACCCTAATAGCAGGTCTCTGGAAGTCTACTATAATGAACTGACTTGTGTTCATTGTGGGCAGAAAAAGACAAGAAATATATAATAAAAAAAAGTCTCCAATATCTTTAAGCTTCAAAGAGTACAAACTAGATCCCAAAATTCTGGTTAAGACTTACAGACTTGCTTAACCAAACAAATCTCCAATTTAGCTGTTTAAAACCTAGTCCTCACAGTGGCAAAACTTTATCAACTATAACGTCTCACAAAGTTTACTATGTAAGTTTTACTTGATGACAATGGAAGAGATGATGAACTTGAAGAACTCACTGACCACTATAATCCTCTTCTTTCACTTACAGAACTACACCTGGGCTGTAAGTCTGCCATCTGGTGGTCACTTTGACAATCAACATCTAAGTCCTTCCCCAAAGGTTACCTGGCTCATTCGTGGGCTGACTCAGCAATGGTCATTTTCATCCATTTCTAGATTCTGCCCTTCAGTAGTTAGGCCAACTAGTTTTCCTTCGCCAGTGATCCAAGGTTCATTTTACCAAAGATTCCAGTAGCCTCCACTCTGCCAATTCCATCTCCTCCATCTTCATACCTAAACTGACAAGTTAGTGCTAAGTGTTCCAAGGTATTCTTACGGTAACTTATTTTCTGACTTTATTACAGACCTTATTCTAGTAATGTTGTCCTTTAGGTTTGTGTATATTTATGCTAATCGAAAACTTCATTTAGTTTAGCATCAGTGATAGGTAGTTCTTAGGTAAGTTTGCAAAGATTTCAATTATGTATGAAACCACAAATATGTTCAGATTGCAGACTTAATTCTGATTTTTTCTTTTATTGAGATCAAGGATAAATTTTTGTCTTATCATGTGTGAGGCTTGAAATCAAATACATCTTAAAAATGGGAACTTTCCTGATAGTAATTAAGTTTTTATTACTGTTGCTTTATTTTTGTTTCATAAAAAGTTCATGTCACAATCAATTTGATTTTCGAACACACAATTGTAGACTAGACTGGTATGACCCTTTGACAGCTTTGAGGATTTCCACAGGGAGAGAACACATGCCAGTGTCTCTCCTCTTTCCATCCCTCAAGAGGAGGGCTTTTCTCTCCTTTCTAGCCTAGAGCACATTGCTGCTCCCTGCAGAGTTGAAGGAGCAACTGAGCCAACTGAATGTGTTTAGAGGTTTGTGCTAAAATACCTGTGGAAACAATGTTGCCCAAAAGGCATTTACCTTGATCCTTTCAAGCTCCTTTTGAAGAACAGCCTGTGTGGAGCAAACCAGATGTGTTTTCCTCCCACCACCATTCTTTCCCCTTCCTTTCTGCATGATGACATTTGGAAAAGTTCGTTAGGAAGGACTTCAGAGCATGCAGAAAGAAGACACAGATGACTGATCTATGAAGAGGATGGAGGCAGTGATGTGTGTCCCCTGGTTCCTTTTATTGGAATTGTCTGCTGTTCTTGTTTATGATTCTCCTCAAGTTTTTTGGAAGAGGAAAGAAACCAAAATAGTCCCCATGATTACAACAGGCCAGGGTTGAAATCTGCTATGTGGTTTGTTCCTGAGTTGGACCAGAGTCTGGTGGTTACCCAAATGCAGAATTAACCAGCAAATGCCTCTGCGGTAAAATGTAGGCTCTCAGAACCTAACAGAGGATCCTAGGGAAAGGAAAATGAAGACAGTCCAGAAATTATTACAAAATATTTGAAAGCTTCAATCTCAAAACCTGATTCATACAAATTAATATTGTTTTTCTGAGTCATGTGTGGTCTGATAGGTAAACTAAGTTTAATTTAGAAAGACCTCATTTTAAACTCTATCTGGGTAGTAAAAAGTTCAAATTTTATGAAATACATTGAATTTTAAATCACCAACAATTGGTTATCCAGGTTCTGGACATATACACTAAGAAAGGTCTGAGCTATATTCTGAGCTTTTGTTATATTTCTCATTTTAATTTGACTCAACGTACAGAGAGGAGTGGGAATGGATCCAAAAGCTTTCTGGCTCTGAATCTATGGAAAGTGTGGATCATACTTCTGACTGCCCCGTGCAATTGTTCTTCTATGAGCTCCAGATGGCAGTGAAAGCTCTCCTTAAGCAGATCAATATACCTCTACACCAGGTACTCGAGTTTACCATTTTATCTTTTTATAGCTCATAGAAACTATACTGCAGCATAAAATTTACTCAAGAGGCATGTATATACATATATGTTTATTTTCATTTATTTAAACACTACTTTTCATATATATGCATGTTTTGAATTTAATACATATAAGTAGATGTATTCTGAACTTCTGCTCTTTTTCTCCAGTCCCTCTGTGTTAGTCTCTTGCAATTTTTTTGAACCCCACTGTACTGTGTTCTGGTGAAGAAAAGAAAAATCTAGTCTACCTTAAAAAACATCAAGCTTCACAGGATATCATTAATCAACAAGAATGCATGCATACAATCATGCATAAACAGTGTAACTATATGGGCAAATGATTTATCTGAGAACCGAATAACAGTAGTATAATCTACAGGAATGGTTAAACTATGTCATGCTACCATTCCACGGGAAATTTACTGTCAAGCTTGCTGTCTCATTTAAATCATATTGTACAAATCTAATCTGCACAAATAAGCAATTGTAAGAAAAACTAATAGCACAGAAGAGACTAGTAAAACTGTTCTAGGCTCTGCCTAGTAGTTTAATATAACGCAGCATTAAAATTTTGTTTTTGTTGGTGTTGTTTTTGCCCATATTCACCATTATTGCCCCTCCCCTCAAAGCATCTTACACACACACACACACACACACACACACACACACACACAATTCAGCCTGTATTAGGAAGACTATTACAGAGTGGCTGGTTCTCTTTTAATGAGAAAGAACCAGAATTGGCCTCTGACCCATGGAGCCAGGGGGATAAATTAGAGATTCCAAGAGTGTCTTTCCATTATAGTACTACACTGATTTTAAGTCATTACTACCCAGCCACTCTAAACCAGTCAACACTGGTGAAATCTAAACTACAAGAGATGCCATAAAGATACTAGGGGAAATGAATTATCCCAGGGGTGGCCATATGCGCAAGAGAAAAAAAATACCAGTTCTACTTGTGACAGTAGATACTATTAAAGGGTTCCTTGGACTTAGCAGGTTTGAGGAAGCTCATATTTCATTGGTGACTCTTGGGCTACATACACATGTTGGGAGAAGGCTGCCTAACTGCCTAACAGTGCATACAATTTTTTTTGATACTTATAAAATTTTCTCAGTCCTTGGCCAGAAACTATATTTTTCCCCTTAACCAACTTAAACTGAAACTAGTGGATTTTTAATTCAATCCATTTTTGTTGCTTCATGTAATTATATTCATCATTTTGAAAAGCCCACAGAATGCAATCATTTTCTGCTTTTATAAGAAGCATGAATGTTGTTTTCAGAGTTTATGTGGAACATTACTGCCTTAAATCTTGATTTTATATAGCATTATTAAATGGGCTGAACCCTAATATTTATGTTGTATAAAAATTCCAAGCTTGAAGTCGTGTAATTTTGTTAGATGTTTTATGCCAGTTTGGTGTTGTTTATGTAAGTGCCATGTTGTAATTCTCCTATTTTTCCTCCGCGCGTGTCCCTCTGCAGGCAAGGAACTTCCGCCTCTACACACAGGAGGTGTTGGAAATGGGTCACAATGTGTCCTTTCTTCTCCTGCTCCCTGCCTCAGACGACGTCTGTACAGCCCCAGGACAGAATAATCCTTACACCCCACACTCAGGGTTTCTTAACCTCCCTCTTCAGATGTTTGAACTTGGTATAGTAGCTTGTTTCACCTAGAAATATTAACCCAGCCTCCTTATAATAAAATCACAAAGTTATATCTGTTCCCCCTTGTCCCAGTGGAGGGTCAATAAATCACATGCTGGCTTTGGCAACAACCCTTCCTAGAACTGTGTACAAGTCTGAGAAACAGCAAAGCTCCAAGACTATGTGCCTGAGCAATAATTATTGAAAACTAGCTAAGGCCCAATAGAGAGGAAGAAATTCTAAACAGAAAGTTCAGTTATCAGGCTGTACTTAATGCCTCTCCTCTGCTTTCTTAAAACATAAATACCAGAATGATGTTTTCATGAAAAGCACTGCCCCTTCTCTTTCCTTCTCCTTACCCCCATCTCCAACTGGGAAAAAAATAATAATGAAATTAAAATGCAGAATTTGTATCACTTTGGAGGGAGAAAAAGCTCTGCAGCTATAAGCAGTACTGATTTATTAGACTTGATTTATTAGATCTAAATTTCTAACAGATCAAATAAGAAACAGGGTCTCACAGGCTGCAATATTGTAATTTTAATGTGGGGTTCCGAATGGTGGAAGATCTTGTCCTGGCTTTTCAAAAAATGAATAGCCTGGGCTCTAGTTTCTCTATTTTTGCTGAGACCCCTGCTGCCCACTGAGTATGTGAATAGGGAGGCTTTGTCTCCCTTCCCATGCTGCATCTTGTAACAGGCCAATAAGAGGCAATTAGCAAGGGCTCTGTCAATTCAAGTGAATTGTACAATTTGTGGGCAGCTGAGTGAATGGGTTGGTGGAATGGAGGCAGACGTTCCTTGGACTACACCTTAGTCACCAGATTTAGAAGCAGAAAGAGGCAACTGCCTGGTGTCTCACTTTGAGATCATGGGTCTGAATCTGAATTTATTCTTCTGCGATATACTGCTTAAGCCTTAGTTTCCCTGATTCCAAGCAGTTCATATGATGCTAAATAGTCGATGAAAGACAAGTTTTAATTTCCAGAGAAGGGAAGAGTTCATTAGAGAAGTGTGAAGAAGCAAACAGCCTGGGACTTTCAGGGTCCTGGGTCCTCCACCGTGTATGACACTGGCAATCACTTAACCTTTCTGCACCTTTTTGGGGTTACATAATTAATAATATTGGCCATAACTGCTCCCAAAGGGCCTAGATATGAATGTGACCATTTCCTCAGATAAAGAACATTATTAGTTCATGATATAATTGCATTATTATAATGACATAAGTTTTGGGCAAAGGTTTTATATTAAGTCAATAAATATCTCTTGGATGCCTACTGTGGAGATTTAGAGATGAGTATAACTAAGGCTTTGTCCTTAAGGGGCTTTCAGTATGATGGTAAGAGTAAAATAAGAATAAAAATTATTGCCAGGTATTTAGCTCAGAGACATTAAGCACCTGCCTGGCAAGGGTGAGGTTGTGAATTCAATCCCTAACCTGGTACCAAAAAATAAAATATTATAAGATGAGGTATAATGCCTTATAAATATTAAGTGTTATATAATATTGAAAAAAGAAAAAAATATGTCCTTCATGGAGGAGAGTATATTTGATATGGATATTAAAGATTGGACACAACATTGAAAAATGAATAAACACAAAATGTTTCTTCCCAGAGGGAATAGAATGAGCAAAGACATGAGAATAGAAGAACAGTCAGGAAAAGAACAAGTGGTTCACTTTGGCTAGATCTGAGACACATGAGGAAATCAGGAATAAGACGGTTGTATAGACGAGATGGGGCCATAATGATTCTTAAGACTTGAGCTAAAGAAACTGTTTACGATGGAGTAAAAGCCAAGTTCAAAAATTTCTGAAACTCTTATGCCAGTGTTATGGTAGTAACCAAAAAAGGGGCGGGGGGGGGGAGAAGAGGAGAGGTGAGGAGAGGAGAGGAAAGGGAAAGAGAGATATTGGGAGTAATCAACCAGAGTGGGCAACTGTTTAAAATGAGGAAAGGACAAGTGTGGGACTACTTTTACAGTTTTTGATGTCAATGATTATGAGGATACTGCTGCCTTTAGCAAAAATATAAAAATCAGGAATATGGTTTGGAGAATAAATTGATGTTTTTAGCTTTGAATATATTAAGTCTAAAGGTGTTAAGTCAACATCCAAGTGGACATGTTGCACTGGTGATAGAAACGCAGTAGAGAAAGCTGGATACTAAACAGAAATGTAGCCAGTGTCTACTAATAACAGCTAAAGCCACAAAACTGAATGACTGCCACGTTTGTCAGAAAACGGAACTAAGGAAAACATGTCATTGGAGCACTAACCAGTATTCTATTCTGTACAAAACAATCGTTGTCACTCCCATGATTACAGGCAAAACTATACAAAATTCATTTTCTCCTGTCTTAATCACATTGATGGAAACAGTCAATGATACTGTATCAACCTATTATACCTCAGGCTAGGACCCAGGCATAAAAGGATGGTGTCTCCTGCTTTTTGTGAGACTTACACACTCTCCCTGGGCAGCTACTCTCTGTCTCACTACTGTTATTTCCCACTTTACAATTTGGGAAAATTCTATTAGTCTTCATCTTCTTTCTCCATTCATTTGTTCATTTATTCATCAATAAATATTATTGAGCAGTCTAGTAAGTGCCAGGCATCATTCCAGAGACTGAAGAATCAGTAACTCTTCATTGAGCCTACTTTACTGAGGGAGACAAACAATAAACTGATCAACAAATAGTAATATAATAAATATCAGAGAAGTAAACCCCATGAAGAAAAATACGAGACAAGAGTAAAGTGGCAGAAGCTGCAATTTTATACATGAAGATACACATGGGAAAGTTTCTCTGAAAAAGTTACATTTGAGCAGGCACATGAGAGTTTCAAGACATAGAACACCAAGCACAAAGGTCTTACAGTAAGATTATGCTCACCTAAGAGATCAGTGTACCTACAAGTAGTAAACAAAAACAACACAGATAGATGAGATCAGAGTTAATGAAATCAAATTATGCAGGGCCTCACAGGCCACAACAAAGAATTCAGATGTTACTTTAAGTATGCTAAGAATTCAATGGATGATTTTAAGTAGTAAAGTAACCTATTAAAAGTTCTATAAAGTCCAGCAGACCTACCCCTTTCCCAACAAAATGCGAAACTTTATTTAACCCAGCATTTGCCAAGCCATTTGACCAAACTGGAACCATTTTTAGCACACTATTAAAAACCCACATGTCTGAGATACAGTGCCCTAGAACAATGCTTCTCAAACTTTAATGTATAGAGGAATCACATGGACAGCTTATTAAAATACAGATTCCTGGAGCCCAACTCCAGCTATAGTAAATCCACTAGGACTGGAAGAGGCTGGAAAATGTATGTTTCTGAAGAGCATTTAGGTGACAGTGACGCCAGAAATCCATGGATTATACTTGAAATTTGCATAGGCACAGATAGAAATAAGAGAACTAGAGAGAAGTGGCTAGCACAGTAATATAGTAGAACCCAACAGTATATGGGTCTAATCTACCTCTTTTTATTTGCTAAAAGCAATCTAAAACCTGAATACTGTGCTGAGATGGATAATGTCTGAAGTCTGAATACTGTGCTGAGATGGATAATGTTGCCATCTACCAAAACAGGAAACAGGAGGGGAGGGACATCAGCGGACACTACTTTCCATGTACCAAAAATAGGCCATCAATCAAAGGCTACGTCTCATAGTAACTGATTTTTAAGATGTTATTTCCTAGAATAAGACATTTTCTTACCTTCTTGATCCACCTTGACTGCTATATCATGGGTGACCCACCTGATTATAAGGAATATGTAACTTTCCAGAATTTGGTTGGGCTTTGTTCCACTGACACACACATTCTATTAGCTTTTCTTTAGAGAGCAGGGAAAAGTGTTGTCAGTAGCTGAGGATTAATACACTTGCTAATAAAATGTTTACTGCATTTCAACACCACCAGCCAACAATATTAAAAATATTACAGGGCCTTAGTAAGATCATGACAAACTCTATCTTATCCCTCAAATAATCCAAGCTTTTCAAGTGGCAAATTATGATAGTTACTCCTCATTTAGGTAACAGCCCACTAAACAATTAATAACACCTTATATAGGAACTTTTTAAGGACTTGTAATAACGGATCTAAGCTCTTATAACAAATATGCTAACCATTTTTTAAAATAGGAATTTCTGTTCTCCATAGGTAGTTTCATAATAAGTCTCAATACACTAAATGTTTCTGAAAAAGAAGAGAATGTTTTTGTAAATTCAGTCAGAACTCAGAAAAATTTTAATAACTACATGGGAACTCTAATGAAACTTGAAAAGGTGTGAACTATGGCAATATGTAAATTATAATAGAATAAAGAGTTGCAGTACATTTTAGTTTGACTTATATAAGTCATCTCTATTCCCATGAAAAGGATTTGAGATTTGGCAAACTGATCAAGTTCCCGCCAGTAGCCTAAGTGAATCATAAATAACTTGCTAACCAGCTATGGAAAACTGCATCTGTATCCATTCCAGCACTAAACAAATCTAGTGAGGGTAAAATGATAAAAAAGAGCTTAGTCATCTGTCTCCTGGAGTAAAGACCACTGGGACAAACCCACAAAATATTCTTTTAGAGGACTGCTTGTGGGATTGAAAGAACTGATCCTGCAGAAGGCTCTTGTGAGATCTGAGAAAGCAGGTTAAGCTAAGAGAAAGTGGCATAATTTCACCCACTCCTCATTCCACAACCTCAGGGCTGACATACTACCATCCCTTGGGTAGGAGCAGAAATAGGACCCCTCGACAGTAATAAAGCATGTGCCTGTAGGCCACCAAGCTTCACTCTTTATACTGTTCCAAAATTAAAAAGAAAAGCACCATCATAATAAACCCTTAGAAACTCCATCCAGTGATGTGGTCTCTTGAGGATTTGCCTAACCTACACTGAGGAGGTCACCCTGCCCTGGTCCTGTAAGCAGTCACGATTAACAACAGCAGACATATGATGGGGGGGGGACTGAATTTTTATTGATTTCTTTGGCTCTATGATTCATACTAATTGGACTAGAAAGACAAAAATACTAAAGAATTTTTAAAACATAATTTAAGGCCTGATATATATTTCATACTTCTGTGTTTGGTTGCATCCTTCATTCAACAAACATTTACTGAGCTTACATTGTATGCCAGGTACTGTGCTGGAGCTAAATATACAGACATTAATAAGGTACAGTCCACTCATCAGAAGCTCAAAATCTAGTACAGGATACAAAGGCCTCATATAATAAAAGTACTGCTATAAGACATAGGCTGTTGACTTTCAGAAGAAAGGCACTCCAGCCTATGTCAGAGTTAACATTTAACCACATCATGAAGGAGAAGTAAAAATTCAGAAAGTCAAAGAATAGGAAGAGCACAAAAGGAAAACCACTTTAAACATACAAAGTCTGGGAGAATAATGCCCAATTAGACACACTTTTTGGTAGTTCATTGCAATGAATGTTTAGGGCATCCCATGAACCTAAAAGTGAAAAAGCTCAGAATCGGTAAGGGTTACTTGTTTTATCCTAAAAAGGTGAGACCATTTTTTAGGTAAAAGGGAGCAATGAAAAATTTTAAGAAAAGGGATGATATGATCTCTTTGGATTTTTGAAGTTCTGTGGAGGACAGAGTGCAAGAAAGTAATAGGGGTGGGCAACAGAGACAATTAAGAGAGGACCACACTAATCCAGGTGGGCAATAGGAATCTGAACAAAAGCAGCCACAGGGGACAACAGAGGAGAAAGCAGAGCAAGAGGAATTTAGAGGTTAAAATCATTGAAACCTTGTGACTGATTTGATGTGGTTGAAGAGTAACAAGGAGGAGCCAGAGAGTCTGAATACTGTGCTGAGATGGATAATGTTGCCATCTACCAAAACAGGAAATAGGAGGGGAGGGACAGGTTTGGGGGGAGGGGAAAGATGATGAGTTCAGTTTGACAAATGATGAGTTTTGAGGTGCCTGTGGGATACCCAGGCAATGAGCCTAATGGAATCCAGGCCACAGGCTTGCAAGAAATGGCACCGTCTCAACTTTCATTCCTAATGCCCATTTTTCATGATTTAGGATCCCATTCCTGTATTCCAACTGACAACTTACTCATTACCAGGAATCTAGAGAGGCACCTTGTGCTCAGGTTCTTTTTGATGCTTTGGCAAGGAATCATGGCACTAACCCTAGGAAGTATCTAGTTGATTCCTTAGCTTCCAGATTAGGCCATATGACCCAGACTGACTGCAGTTAGTGAGTTAGAGAGCTTTAGGAAGACTATTCTAATCCCAATCCTGTTCTAATAGCCTGACCACAAAATTCTCTTATTTCCTGGGGGTGAAGGGTTTAGGGTAGGAACATTTATTTTGCATCTGGTATGCGTCACATGCTATGCTGGGTACTTTAAATACACTTATTATTTAATCCTAGATAGACATTATTATCCCCCTTATAGGGATAGTACTGAGACTCCCAGGGGTTACCTGCTCAACATCACACAGGCAGAACTATGATTCAAACCCAGTCCTGTGGGACATCTAAACCCATGTACTTTCTATCATACTATACTGTTAGTATTCATGCCAACTGTATTCTACTCTATCACTATCTTATAAAGAGGGAAAAACACCACCACTGGAAATTAGTCCTAGCTTGTAAATTACTGACAAATGATGTGGTCCAGTTAACGACATTATTGTAGCCTTATACCATTTTGCCTATAAAATGAATGTGATTCACATTTTTAAAAAATTAGAAGCTTCCAGTCTATCGTCCCATCCTTGGTGATGGCTACCAAGTGTATCATTGCTAAACCACAAAAGACTATGTTAAAGTAACATTTGTTAAAGTGACATTAAAGACTCTGGATAAAAACCACTAGAGAAGCAACTGAAACGTTACAGTTGAAACTTCCTCATAACTCACTGTGGTTCATGGCCATGGATGGCATGAACACTGTGAGACCACCCACTGATCCGTGGCTCCCACCACAAAGACACAACAAGAGAAAGCTGTGAATACCCTGGTTTTTAAGAATTTAGATGGGACTGATAGCATTGCTTTTAAATTATTCAGTGTCTTTCCATGGTAGATTTTCCTAGACATATTTTAGAAAAGTAAAAAAGTTGAGTGTTTTTTTTAACAAATTGTTTTGGTTAAAGCAGGCTGCAAGACACATCACTTTCGTCATTCGGCAGCCAAAAAAGGACATCTGTCAAGGGCTAACAGAATATAATTCCTCCTTGAAAGACATAAAGACACATTTAGGGAGCCACGAAGGTCAAGAATAAGCTACAAAGTAGTGGTGACTACTTTCTTGTGGGCTACTAGTAAACCCTACAGACCTAAAATATACCTTTCAGAATACAAGAATCTAGGACACAATTACAAAAGTGAAAGCAGAGGAAAAGAAACACCTCAACAAGGCTGGGTCTATCCTCTTCAGATTAACTCATGCATTTATTTCTTTATTCATAAAGTTCAATAAGATTAGTTAAGAAGCTACAATGTTCCACATTTTGAGGAAATAAAAGCAGGATATATGATTCCTGCCCACAAGGAAATCACAGTCTAATACCAAATCAATTAAGTACACAAGTGTCACAATAGAGCTAGAAGTAAGTGCTCTAGATGCACAAAAGGACGAGAAACTAGCTCTGCCTGGAAGAGACATCAGTAGAAATAGACTCTGAAGACATTTTGGTGGGACTTACCATTATGAAAGTAAGCATTATTGAAGGTATTGGTAGAGACTGGTATTTGAGGATAAGGAAAGGCATATGTAAAAACACAGAAGTATTTGAGAAACCTAAAACAAGTAAATAAATGAAAAAAGTAACAGAGCGATGATGGGAAACTAGAAGAGAAACTCAAAGAGATGGGAAAGAGAATTAGGTGGAGGAGGGAAGAAGGTGGTAAGGGATTGAAAATGATCAAGATAAATTATATGCATATACAAATTCCCCAAAACAAGTATCACTATTCTGTATTACAAACATGCAATAATTATCTTCAAAAACCATAGAAATATAAAAGTGCAGGAAGTTCAATCTGACCAAATCTTAGGATTGATACAGAGCTAGTGGTAGTTGAAGATGGTTGTACAATAACAGCTTTGGTTACAGATATATTCCAATCTTAGGTCCTTATGAGAAGCATCCTTTTCTTACGCAGAGATAACATTTGAATTTTATCCTGCATTTAAGAAGTTGTCAGAGGACATTAAGGAGGAAATTGCATGAGAATTCTATCATTTGGGAAAAGTGAAATAGTTTGACATTTGCCAAAAAGGTGTATGAAATCAGCTCTTCTTTGTGTAAGACAAAAAGTGCTAAAAGAGCTAAAAGATGGAAAGAAAAATCTGACACCAAAGAGAAAATTCCATGCCTGAGACTACCTGGGTTGAGAAACACCTCCTTCAAATCAAACAGGAAACCACTGTTAAGGGATAAGGATGAAATCACTGAAGACTTCCCCAAATTATTCTCTTGTACTCCATAAGAGCAAAGTGAACAGAGAAAATGTCTTGATTGCCTTAAGAGAAAAGCAGGAAAGGAAGCAGCTAACGATAAGATGAGAATAATGACGTGCACAGAAATCTCTCAATATGCACTGAAGAAGGCTCCCTGGCTGAGGTGTGGAGTTAACCAGATGCCCTGTTCTGAGATACTGACTCAGCCTCCTTAATCTTGGTCCTAGGAATTGACCGCAAAGTGATAAAGAGTAATAATTACCTCTTCATTCCAAATTTCCTCCCATAAGACATAAATATACATGTTTCAACAGATGTGTTGTTGGGATGCTATTTCCGAAGCATGGAACAGAATGGTAGAAATAAGAGATTAAAAATAAATCAATCAGGTTTCTGAAGAGTAGGTCTCCACATTCAGTAATGGGCCAGGAAAAGACTAGAACAACACTAGTCTGAATGAGGACATTTTCCTCATCCATTTGGAATCTGAAGATTTGATATGATTAAAGGTAGTCAGAAAAGTATAAAAAGTCTGAGTACCTGCAGGTACTTACACTACGCTCAGTCCTACATTGTTCTGTCCTTCCTGGAAAGGGTCAAATGGTGGAGATGAAGGTTAAACTGTTTCCTGTGGCTTCAAACAATGTTCTGTCTAGGTATCAGCAGCCATCATACTTGGAGAGGAGCTGAGAAAGGGAAAGGCAAAGGAAGATCAAAGTCCATAATAGGCCACTCAGAAGGTTTTTGGTCAGAAGAAAGATACACTGAGAAATGTGTGTCTCATATCTTTTGGGGGTTCTGACCTTAGAAAAGAAAAAGATACATAACAGGAAATTGGAGAGAACCGAAACTAGGTCTCAAATTGATACTTGGGTTTTTCTTTAAAATAATGTTTGTTTTCCCAGTCTCTCTCTCTCTCTCTCTCTCTCTCTCTCTCTCTCTCTCTCTCACACACACACACACACACACACATATACACACACACACATACACATACACACAGAGTTATGTGTGGCCTAACACTAGGGATAAATTTTGAAATCTGTGTTGTTAAGCAGTATCACTGTTGCGCAAACATCATATAGCATACTTACACAGACTAATATGACTATTATGTCACTTGGTGATATAATCTTATTGGACCATCACTATATATACAGCCCATGGCTGGCTGAAACATCACTATGTGCCATGTGACTATTAAACTAAAAACCCCCCACTCTAGGAAACAGTTCACATAAAGTGCAGCTTAAACTAATGCCATTTCCCCATACCTTACCAGAAGTTGGTAAACCTAAAAGGGAATACTGTCTGACTAAAGCCAGACAACCAGCCCCTTACGAGTATATTTATAATTTACTTATGGTTTAATATTTTCCACTGATAGGATTAATAAATCATGTTTTCATTCAACTAGTTTTCTCTGAAGTATGAAGTTTTCTATTTTGATACCAGATCTTAACATATTTTACTTTGCTTGTCCATTTTCCAGTTCATTTTTGCAGCTACAGAGAGAAATTTATTAGTCTGTATTGCCGCCTTTCTGCTATTGTGGAGCTGGATTCTCTGAATACTCAACAGTCCCTGAGGGAAGCAATCTCAGACAGTGAGGTTGCAGCTGCCAAACAAAGACACCAGCAAGTTTTAGATTTCATTCAGGTAATAGTTTGTTTTTTCTCAGCTCACAGGATGAAAGAAGACACAGGGTAGGAGGGGTGAGAACCAAGCAAGGGAAAGAGCAGAAATCTTGGCTGATTCAAAAAACCACAATGTGCAAGCAGCCTGGTAACTTGGCTAAAATGTGGAACTCAAGTAGATAAGAGTTTTCAAAAGTTTAAGAAAAGCTAGAAAGAAAGAAAGAGAGAGAAAAAGTTACCAAAAAAAGTTACAGATAAATCACACTAGTCCTAAGAACTGCATGATCCACCATGGTAGGTGGCAATGGCATCACATTATAGAAAAAAAAAAAATCACACCCAGAATAATCAGAGTATTATCTGATAATCTTTTGAAATTTCCAATGAAAAGAAAAATATGTATTCATTTACTCAGTATTGCAGAGAAACAGAAAATGACCAGTTTATGTTAACCTAAATTCAGTTAGAACTAAGATTCCCCAGTTTTGGACTTCTATCTGATAGAGCTGACACTTTAATGTGTGGCTACTGAGTTAAGAAAATGTGTTCATGGACATGATCTTATCTTGAGAAGTTTTATGGTGACAATGAGGATCCTGTGAAAGGAGTACTAACCAGTAATAGCCATAAGAATTTGGATTTGGCCTGAAATTGCTTCTAAATGACTTATCCAAATCTTATAATCTAATAGAATAGCTACAGGCCTATGATTAAAACCACCACGATATTTATATTCAGTTCAATTTCATAAATATTTGTAAGCACTCAGGTGTCAGACCCTGTAAAGGACATACAAAGTTGAAACAGATATGGTCCTTAACCTTAAGGAGTTTTAAATCCATTGTGGTAGATAAGAAGTATATATAAATACTATTTGTCAAATTTGGTGAGTGTCAAAAAAGAAACACTGAAAGAAAGTGCTGTGTCAACACAAAAAAATAAAAACTTACTTTCACTGTAGGTATCAGAATAATTGCCAGTGAAGATGTCATTCACATCTCAGCAGGACCTGTAGAAATATATTAGATAATAGTAAGAAAAAATATAATGTGGAACATTCAGACACAAAGTGTAAACAGGTAAGGCAGGAAGAGCAGAAAAGTAGTATTTGGGGAATGATATATTGTCAAGGCCAAATGGGGTACAAATTAAATGTTGAACAGTAATGATTAGGCAAGATTTTTTTTTTTTTTGTCTTTTTCATTTTCATCGGTACCAGGGATCGAACTCACGACCACCTGCTTGCAAGGCAGGTGCTTATGGATTAGGCAAGATTTTGAAAAATAGCAATGAGGTAAGATCACAAAGATTTTATTAAAGCCCCTTGTAAGGAATTTGTACTTAATTTTGTAGGTAAGAGGGTGCTAGTCAAAGTTTTGGAGAAAGTAAATTACAGGTTCTCACAACTCTGTGTAGGATATATAGTGAGCAGCAGGGCTCCTGTCTCCTGTGTGTTGTTATGGCCATACTGGTTGCTGGTTATAAGAAGGCATTCTGATTGGTCCTGCTCACAAAATAATTTGCATCTCTCTCTTGGATTTAAGAAGATAACTAAAGTACTGAAACCAGCTAAGAAATTCTCCCAACAATCCAGACAAGGGGCACTGAGAACAAAGAAATGCTTTCAATTTTGGGCCAATAAATCACTCTTAAGTCTAAATCTCATCTGAAAAACAGCGATCATAATAACTCTACCTCATAGGGTTAGATGAGAAAATTCAAGAAGAGACAGATTATAAAGCACTCAGAACAATGCTTGATACATAATAACTTTGCAATAAATTATATATTTATTCTTTCATTCATTAATAAGGAAAACTTTTGAAATATGACTATGTTAAGAATTGAGGCTCTGAAGCATTCATGAATAAAACAGCATAATACACTTTTAAAGTAATGAGAAGGCAAATCTTTTAAGAATATCCTACTTTTCTCATCTTGTAAGTGAAGTATCTTAGGCAACCTCTCAGAATAAAGAAATAACTTTTTGTGAAGTTATCTGCTCTCCTGATCTGAGAATGAATATAAACTTTAAAAATTCATTTGTAATCCCAGCTACCTGAGAAGTTGAGGGAAGAGGATCACAAGTTTGAAGCCAGTCTGGGAAACAGTCAAATTGCCCTATCTCAGATATTTAAAAAATAAAATAAAAAAAAAGCTTGAGTTATAACTCAGTGCTGCAATGCTTGTGTAACATGTATGAGGATCTGGGTTTAATATACAGTACCACCTAAAAAGAAATCATTTAGAGAGATAATGGAGTGCGGTAAAAATAATAATGGGCCAGAAATCAAGAAGCACATATTTCAGTCGTGAATCTTCTGCTGATAAACTCTGGAGTAGTGGAAAATCCATCTGATCTCCTGAGGCCTCATTTTCTCTTGTACGAATGGAATGAAAGGATTGGATTAGATTAATTGTAAGGACCTAGAGAGCTCTAAAAACCAGTTTAGAGAAACACTTCTCTAACCTAACCATGCTTTCGGTTGCTTCTGCCTTACTTCACTTAGGCTTTCCTGAACTTAGGATGTTCATCCAGTGAGGAAGCTGACTTTCTTAGTCTGAAGTCTTGAACCCCCTCCCTGCGTGCCTGACTCCATTCTCACTTCCTTACTACTACCCTTGTTCTTCTCTTTCTCACTTAGCCTACAGTTCCACTGCCTTTTTTCCCCCCTTCTTTTTCACCACACTATTAAAGGGCTGGATAAAGGCAAGCCAGGCCAGGAATTTTTCAAAGTACCTGCCTGTTATGGTCTCCCAAAGCAGGTAACGTGAGAGCTCCTTTACATATCCCCTTCCAGCCAGCCAGGTACACACAGACTTGGATACAAGCCAATTTCCAAAGGGTCCAACAAATAACTTGTTGGGCAGGGTAAAACCAGACCATCTCACTGTACCCACAACCTGCAATGTACCACCCTGTTCTACCTAATGTGGATAAACTTCACTGAGTGGAGACACTTTCAGTATCATCTCTCCTCTTAACTACGTTGAATTCTCAGTCTCTCTCAAAATGAAAACCAGCTGCAACCACTCACCCACTGGTGTTCATGGCTCAGCCCACCACACACTATAACCTGCAGAGGCGACCGCCAGTCGCAAGAACATTTGTATGATTCCAGATCTGAGACAGTGTTGAAGTCACTACACAAACCAAACATTGTAAAGAGCAAGGGAGTCTACATAAATACAGTTAGGAAAAGCCGCCAAGAAGTGCAGCCAGAAAGGGGGAGGGTTGGACCAGGAGTAGTGCAGAAAACCATAGATAAGCTATACTGGCTTTATAGGCAGCACATACGGCAGAAATGTCAAAGTGAATGGAAAAAAGAGAAGAGAAGAGAGTAATGTCAAAGTGTGGAGACCTGGAGCATGGCAATTTTGAACTGCTAAAGCCTAAAGGGCAATTAGGCCATAATTTATATACTGTAATGCTTCAAATGCTTCTGAGCTGTAATAGAAACATAACATTAAACATAGCCAATCTATCATCCCCTCAAGCACCTTGTAGCTGTGCTGTAAGAAAACCAATCACCTTTACATTTTAATAAAAATATTATCTTGCCTGAGTACAGAGAAAGGGTATAACTTATGGGATGAAAACTGAAATTTTGAAAAGAGCAGGGTGAGAAACGGATGCATAACTTTTAATCAGCAGACCTATTGAGTTCACAGTCTTTCTTTTTTAAAATGTGTCAGCAAGTCTTTAGAAGCTGAATTTGGACCTCAAAACAGGGGGGATTATGTTGTCAGTTACTTTCAGATCAACAGTATGAGGTAAAATGGGTGAAAATTGTACTTCTTTTGGAGCTACTTAGTTAAGTCCTTTTAAAGGCCATATACAGGGCTCCTTGTACCTAGGGGATTTTACTTTTCTTTGGTTAAGACCTCTTCACGTTACCACTAAAAAAAAATTAAGTAAACACGTCTCATGATTTTTTAAATTTCCATACTATGCATCCTAAGCAATAGGCTAAAACCACTGTATCAAAAGAGAACAAGTAGATCATTAATAACTATATTAATTTCCTAAGACTTCTACAAAAAACTACCATAACCTGGGTGCCTTCAAACAGAAATGTATTCTTTCTTCATTCTGGACACCAGCGGTGTGATTAACATGCCAGCCTAGCTGCACTCCTGCAGAAGGTGTAAGGCAGAAGTCATTCTCTGCTCTTCCAGTCTTGGGCGGCCCCTGGCATTCCTTGATGTATAGCCACATGCTTCTTTAGTCACAATTCTTCCTTTTTTATACCTTCTTAATCTTCCTTTGCCTCACTCTTAAATGAGTGTCCTTATGAGGACATTTGTTGTTAGAATTAGGGTCAACCCAGGATAAACTCCTCTTCTCAAAATCCTTAATTTGGGGCTGGGGATTTAGCTCAGGGGCATTAGCGCCTGCCTTGCAAACAGGCAGTCGTGAGTTTGATCCCTGGTACCAATAAAAACGAAACGAAAAAAAAAAAAGACAAAAAAAAATCCTTAATTTAATCACATCTTTTATATATAAATTAACATTTACTTCTTTATTATATAAAGTTACAATCATGGGTTCTGGAGATGAGGATATAAACATCCTCTTTAGCATTCACACTGTTATGGCTTGCATCTAGATATCCCCTCAAAGCACCATGCAGTCACAGGTGGGGCTTTTTCAGAAATGGCTTAATCTAGAGTGAATGATTGATTCATGGTACAAAGCTAGGATTCAGGGTGCTAAGACTACAGGCAGATGATTAATAAATGAGTTCACTGTTGGATCAGCACTGCCCTAATCCTGGTAGCCAGGATACAATATAAGGAAGAGAAAGAGGCTTGTCTTTCCCTTGTTTTGCTTTGCTACTTTTTGCCCTCTATGAACTGTTTCTCCTCTGCAATGCCTATCTGCCATGTCACTCTGCCTTGGAGCCAGCTGATTACAGGTTGAAACCTCTACAAACCGTGAGCTAGATAAACTTTCCCCCCTTTACTTTAGGTGTCAGAGATTTTGTCTAAGCAATGAAAAAAAGTAACTAAGACATATATTTAACCCACTGTAATCATCATGAAACTTGACAACTAAAACTGTAACAAAGCATAATTTATAGAGCACCAATCTACATTAATTCTTATAACTGTTTGAGGGATAGAGATCTTAAAAATTATGTGTATGTTCCATTTATCTATTTATTTATCCATTCAATAATCATTGTGAGGGGAAAATACTCTATACAACTGAAGGCAAAAAGATATAAAACCATAGTCCTTGTCCTTGAAAGACACTCTAAAAGCTATTCATAATCATGTAATGCCTCTAAAATACCTTTGAGGCAAGAATATGCTGCATATGATACAGCCAAACAAAGCCAACTGAGAAAGTAAGGCTTTTATCACAAAAATTCAGTCTCATCTTGGAGTCCCAATTGTCTTATCTCTCAACTTTGGATTTCTCGTTTTAAAATAGCTTGGTGCCTATGCATGGGCCTGCCTACTGCCAAACTTCCTTCTCAACTCACCAAGCTAACAAATCCTAGAGTTCAGTCTCATACTATTATCACCAGCCCTGAATACTCTGCTAACTCCGGATACTTCAGAATGGAAGAGTTGAAAACCAAGGAAAAAAGCGACTATCAACCGCACTGTACCCTTCATTAATTTTTTCCAGCTTGCCTGTCACTCTCTAGCAGACTGAAAGTCACTGTTTCAGAGTTTACTTTGTTTTGGAAGCACCAGATTTGTGAATATTCTTAAAGAGTAGGTTTGAGTACTGATTAAAGACCTAAGAAGAAATTTTGAAAACATAATACTGGATAATATCTCTTTAAAATCTCCATAATCAAGTAGATCTTAATATTATATTACTCATACAATAAACACCTTCTACCTGGGAGTGGAATGACAACTTACGTTCTTTAAAAAATAACCATAAAGTATCAAACCAGAAGTAACCTTAGTTATCATCTAGTCCAGTAATGGCAAACCTCTTAGAGCTTTTATGACAAACCACATGGGTTCATGTGCCATGGGTTCATGACCACTGAGTATCCCAATGTCTTCTTTTTACAGTTCAGTAAGCAGCCTGAAGAAGTTAATGCCTTACCCAAACCATCTAGTAAAAGTAGATGCAAAGCAAACCACAGGCTCCAGAGTCCTCTAAAGTACTGTGTAACTAAGAGCCCTTCTTTGTGAATTAAGTAACCAGATGAGATTATGGCTAGCATCTGTCAAGATCTGGCAGCACATTTGTCATGTATAGATAGATAGACAAAAAAAATCTCAGTGACTTTTACACCAATGTACTTCAGAAAAACTACTATTGTTTTACAATGAAAATGTCATTAAAGTAATTTTGGTAATCCAGAAATCAAATACTAACAACCTAAAATGTACTACTCTCAAAATTTAAGAATGCCTAAATTACTTAAGAATAAAGGTGTTTTTATTGTTTGTAGGAATGCAAACACCACCACCACTATGGAAATCAGTGCAGAGATTCCTTAAAAAATAAAACTAGAAATTCCATTTAATCCATCTCTTCCCTTAGTAGATATCTTTTCAAAAGAGTGAAAGGCATCATATCACAGTGCTGCATGCATACCCATGTTTATAGCAGCATAACTCATAATAGCTAAATCTTGGAAGTAGATTATATACCTATTAATAGGTGAATGTCTAATGAAAATGTGATATTTATATGCCACATATAAATATGCAGTGTTACTCTATCATAAAGAAGGAGAAATTTGAGTCACTGTAGGAAAATGGATACACCTTGAGACCATAATGTTAAGTAAATAAATCAGAAACCCAAGTTTAAATATCATATAACTTCTTTTACATGAGGCCCAAGGAAAAACTAATTAAAAATAAATAAGTAAAAGACACAGGTAATAGGGAGATAAATCTTTTACAAATGGGAAAGGGATCTAGAAACTGAGGAAGAGAGAAAGGGAATAAAAAATTAAAATAGTTTAAATACACACAGCTACTCCCTAAGATGAATGTAAACATGTAGTGAAAACATAAACTAATTTAAAAAAGACATAAAAATGGTAAATTGTTTTGTACTTATATGCTGAAAGCTAACAACACTTTATATGTGTGAGTAATGTACCCTGTATATTGCAAAGCACTTCCAAATTTATCATTTCACTCCATCACTGTAACAACCCTGTGAGATACGAGGAAAGATATTCTGTCCATACATTAGAAATAAGGCCAATCAAGGCTCAAAAATATCAAATGACTTGCTAAAGGTAATTACAAAGCTAAATAGTCTTCCACTATTTCCACTATACGACAATGTTCTATGGCTAAAATACACACACACACACAATACACAAAGTTTATGAAGAGGCATTTTCTGTCTAAGCAAACATGTTTTGAAAATATTTTACACTTGCTTAAAATCAATACTGTGAAAAGTGGATTATCTTAGGCTCTTAAGAAAACTTAGTTCTCTTTAATAGCTATTTCCTGGCTTAATGTATTTTACCATTTTATTCCCAAGCAAACAGATGAAGTTTGGCGTGAAATGAGATGGATCATGGATGCTCTACAATATGCAAGATACAAAAACCCAGTTTCTGGATTGCTTATCACTAAGCTATTAGACCCTTCAGATGAGCAGAACCTGAAGAAAATTAACTCTACATCATCGCATACAGACTATCTTCCATCACCATCAGCGTCTCCTGAGATGCACAGAAGAAAGGCAGTGAGTGGTAAGCAATAAAATTCACTTCTTTGGCTCAGTCACCAGATTCTTAATCTTTTTTGCTGGTAAGGTTCTTTGTGCTGAGGCATTCATTTGACCAAGCGGCTGGAAACACTGATCAGAACCTAAAAGCATAAAAGAAACAAAACCACAACAGTGGAACGGTCAGAAACTACAATGATAATCTGAAATCAACTCCATTTAGATGTAGGGAAGATTCATTTCAGTGCTAACCCACACTTCCAAGATATCAAAGGATACATATCAAAAAAAAGGATTTGGAAATGCAGAATGGGGATTGCTGTGGTGCTCAGTGACGGACTATCAACCAAGGGAATCACCAAAATCAGAAAAAGCAAAAAGCAAAAAGCAAAAGCAAAATCCCAGACCCTGATAATAGAAACTGACAAGAATGAGACACAAAGTAGTATTCATCTGAGGTAAGACTTGAGGGCAAATTTTCCATCCACACGGCATCAATGTTCTAGGAGATGGAGAAGACAGAAATGTTGGGTAAACTAGTATCATGAAACAGAGACCAAAGAAGTAGCTTCTCCTTATACATATGCTGAACTTTGGAACAAACTGAAGGAGGTCCAGAAAGGCACCTTCTTCTCCCTTGGGGTTAACCCCAACTTTATCTAACAAATGCTATCAGCAACAACATGATTTTGTTAATACAAATTTCTGTAAAATGCCTTTATGCTTATAAGCAGAGAAAAAGCAGACTAAGCTATGGTAATTCAGTGTAATGCTTTTCCCTGGTCTTAAGACCAGTGTCATTTTTTTCCATCAATTAAAATAATGGCCATTCAAAGCATCTTTCGTGATTCTATAGCACAGAAGAATCATAATCTCCATAATATTTTTAATAAGCAGTTCTAACTTGTGGTCTTGTGCCATAGGGGGCAGCAAGGTGTAACAGAAAGAGTTGGGGTTTAAAGACCTGGATTCCAATCCCAGCTTTACTACTCATATATACTTGAACATGATTACTACCTCTGAGTCTTAGTTCTCATGTACGTAAAATGGGAGTAATAATATCTATACCCGTAAGAACTACTTGTGAATAAAATAATCTACATCACAGAAGCATGGAATAGATAATACAGGTATCATATATAATGCTACTATTCTTATAAAAACTTTAGTAGAACAATGAGCTTTTTTATAAGCAAGTTTCTATGTGCTCCTATATTTTTAAAAAAAAATCACATAAAAAAATCAAAGATTGTCAATCAGAACTTGGAAGACAGTAAACATTACAAAGGATTCATAAGTTACAGCTAATTTCATGAAGAGTTATTTAAATAAGAGTTTCCAGTATGTATTTTATAAAGCTCAACTGTTCTGGAGATAGAAATCAAATATATCTCTGACAGAAGCTAGTCTAATGGAAGAGATGGATACAATAATTAAAAATTATACATTAATTGTATATGAGTTTTGGTGTCTGTTGAAGGTATTAACCTCTAAACTTACAAGACCAAAGTAAGACTCCTGGATGAGGTAACATAATCCAATATTAAGAATAAGCAGAAGTTGAGCAGGAAAAGAGAAGAGGATCATGAAACAAAAACAGCAGACTTTACAACTATGCTGTAGTTTAGGGAACTAGGATTAATCTGGTTGAGACTCAGGATCTAAAGACACTATTTTTTTTCATTAAAAAATACTTATTGGTTACCCATTTTGCGCCAGGCATTCTTCAAAGTAGCAGGGATAGAGCAATAAAGCAAAATCTCTACTCCTATAAAAGTCACATCTAAAAAGAATGACAAACAATGAAAGGAATAAAGAAATGAGAGGGTAGAGAAAAGAGGGCCAGAATAGGCCCTGCCAAGAAGCTTTTATTTTATCCTACTCGAGACAGACAGCCATCAGAAACTTTTATGAAAGAACTGATGAGATTTGAATTACTCTTTAAAATCAAATCTTGGTATTACATGAAAAGACCACAGAGGGGAAAACATTAAAATCAGAGGGATCAACTAAAAAGCTACTAACAAAGGATACCAAGCTCTCTGGCTTGAGGATCTCACAGTATCTTAATGTTATTTACCAAAATATGTACATATCTACCTATATGCGTAATAAGAAAGGAGAACAAGCATGGATGGTGGGGAATGCTGAATGAGTTAGCTTTGGGATATTCCACATAAAAAGCAATAATCAAGATAAAAAGAAGAGCTAGAGCTCAGGAAGGAGAACCTGGCTAATGATACAGATTTAAGAAATTATTGCCATGTGAATCATGTTTAAAACTATGAAAATACTTAAAATTCCCTAAAAAGAGTAGGCAAAAACAGAAACAGACTATCAATGGATTCCTATAGAATGGGGTAGCAAGTCTTTTTAGACTAAGAAGGAACAATAGAGAAACAACAAACAGGAGAGTAGAACAACAGAAAGTAAAGCACTGTCAAATGATAGAAGTTAAATATAACAACTGTATATCTTCTGTTGTTTTGCTTTTTTTCAACAAGGAAGTTATCAATAATCTTGATGAGAGTAGTTTGTGAAAGGAAAGAGACAGAAGCTGAACATAAGGTTAGGGAATAAACAAGAGATGAAGAAATGAGACCAGCAAGGCATTATTTTTAAAACCCTGGCTGTGAAAGGAAAGGTGGAAGGAAGGCAGTAGCTAGAGAAGTATACGACTGACAGACATTTTTTACGGCAGGAAAGAGATATGACCTGTAATGTTCCGCAGTTCATGTAATTCTACAAATAACGCTATTTCTACCTTCACAGTCTGCCTGCCCTTTTCCTTCACAGAACCTTCCCAGTGTCTGATCTTGTCTTGGACACAGGGTCCCCAGTGGCCTCCTCTATGCCTAGAAACGCCAGACTCTCACATTGGCCTAAGGACAAATTATACACATTCCCTCCTGGGAGGGCCTGGCCAATTATATTTGGATTTTATTATTAACTTAAAATGTGAGTGAGCCTCATTCTGCTTCTTAGAATAAAACTCTCTCTTTTCGGTCCATTTATTTTTCTGAAGCCTAAATTCCACAGGCTGTGAAACAAAGATGTGGAGGGCAGCAAATGACAAATAGAACCCAGTGACAAGCAAGCACACTGTGAAAGCTGGGGAGAAACACTTAATGTACCCTCCCCTCTCAAAAACGAGCAGTGAAATAAATCTACCACTACACTCCATCCTCTTCGTGAGACCACCTTGAATTCTTTAGAAACTATTCAGGAAAAGGAAAAGTCCAATTTAGAGGAACATCCCCACTGGGTTACTCCCAGGGCAATGTTAGCAACACAACTCCACACTGTCTAAGTATGGTTAACTTAATTTCTAAGATTCCTGGAAATATAAAAGCCTATCACAGACCTAGCCCCTGGTACTAGCCCAAGATTCTGTTTTAAGGTTATTGAGTATCTTGGATTTGTTTATTTGGGGATAAGATAGCAGGGAGTGGACTCTTTTTAACTTACTTCCCATTTCTATGTGGTTTTCAAAACACAAAGTAGAACTCCTCACTCAATTAAAATTAAGCATCTCCCAAGGACCCAAGAGGAAAAGTTGGCTCCTAGAAAAGGCAGCTCAAGGCAGGGGGTGGAATGATTCCATCCATCACATGGGTATTTTCTCGCCCACTCCTTTCCTGTGGGCACATCAGTCACAGGCAACAGCAAATTTTTTTCCTACACTGCACTGATGTTTCTCCTACTGACACATGGGTGAGGCAAGAGGGGACAGTGGGGTTGTTTTCTTCAGATGAATTTCATGATCATCTTTGTCTTCCAAATGTAAATCTTCCTGCAACCTTTTTCCCAGATGATGTTAACAACATTATGGCACAAACCAAACAGTTCAAAACATCCACAAGAATCTGGAGAAATTACTGCTCTTGGGAAATTAGAAGGTGAATAAATCTCTGAGGCTGTACCCAAGACCGGAGGAAAGATTCAGTAAATTTTTTCATTTATAAATTAACTACTACCCAAACATAATGGATACAAAGTCAATCAAACACAAACATATACATAAATCCAAATAGTGAGACATTAAAAATGTGGAATTAAAACCAGATATGGTGGCACATGCCTATAACCCCACTACTTTGGGAGGCTGAGACAGCAGGATTACAAGTTCAAACCCCGCCAGAGAAACTCAGTGATCTAGGAATCTGTCTTGAAATTCTAAAACAAAAAAGAGGGTTGGATGTAGCACAGGGCAGAGGCTCTAGGTTCAATTCCAAGTATCAGAAAAAAAGATGAAGACAAATTTTAGGACAAATATGGTGTATTATTCCTATCATGCCATACTCCCTACCTTTATGGGGGGGCAGTAACATTAAATCAATTATTCTTTCCTGAATTGTCATCTCCCCATAATGCCCTCAAATTACTGTGCTGTTGTTGGCTTAGCCTACGGACGTAGGCGTTGCAACACCCATTACAATGGCAAGAAAGCCAAGCTTCCTAAGCCAGTACTAATACTATGGGCAGAACTTTCATCTGACAGCTTCCAGGTGAACCAGCAGGGAAACTCATGATCCCACCAGTGGTGGCCTACCCAGTGAGCCCGCTAAGGGAAATCAGGAGTACAACCAGGTTTACTGAAGTAACAACTGGGCGAGGTGCCTATGATGGTTAATGGAGCATATGGCATGGATCTGGGGATGAAAGCTGTACTCTGCATTCTTCCTCAAGAAGGGAGGGAGTGGCACGGGCCTGAGTCCTTGGAAACTTTCCTCAGAGCCTTGGCTGGCATTCTACAGATTTTCCCAACTTGTGTGGTAGAGATATCCCACTCTAAAGCAATAGGTTCTACCAAGTTTTCTAATAAATAATATAACCCTGTGCAAATCAAATATTTAAGTTCCCAGGAGAGGTGTCTTTCCCAAGTGTGGCTCAATGAATCAAGAGAATTTTTACCATTCCATAAGTACCTCTTCTTGGGTTACTATAGTTACAACTAGTATCTTGATTTAACTTCCATTTCTCATGCTCCTAACAGTTATAGCATATAATAACATTTACTAATTC